AAGAGAAATATAAAATGGAGGAAAGAGATGATGAGCATCAATTGTGTACCCAAACAAAACTGTGGTGATGGGATTATAGTTTGTCCTGTTAACCTTTTTTAAGGTCCCCTTGAGGACAGAGGCTCAGGAATCCTGGAGAAGCTGCTCTCTAAAGTACATGAAGAAGTGGACCTAACTGGCTCAACTGATGATTTATGTTAGATAAGAAAATGCACTACCAGGTTCTCCTTCATGGATATGAGGAGTATGATCCACTAAGCCTCTGACTCTCCAAATTCTCATAATCTTTTCAATGACAGAAGCCACCTCATCTGAGGTCACATCTTTACTGATGCCTTACCACATTCATTACTGAGAAAGGTTGAGGTATCAAGTTTGGCCTGACACAGACACTCTGATGGGGCAGTTCTTGCTCCAGACTTCCCCAGCAGGTCGGCTGATTTTTAACAGGTCTGCATCAAAGCCCAACTTTAATCCACAGGATTGTTCTTCTGCCTTCCTCCTTTCACAGATATTAATCCCCCCAAAAATATCTTTAATCTCAAAGTGTATCTCAGAATCTGCTTCTGGAGAACCCAACCTGTAACACAATTTTAAAAATCCCATGTTAATCCAGAAGTGGTGGCACCTGTCTGTAATCCCAGCAGCTTGGCAGGCAGAGGCAGGAGGATTGTAAATTTGAGCCCAATCTAGACAACATTTCTGTCTAAAAACAAACAAACAAAACAAAAAAAACCTGAAACACTTTATTGGATAAGGTGACTAGGTGGGGTGCTGAGTGCCTTATTATATGTGATAGTAGTAAATTATGAAAATTATAGGTTTGTTAAGTGCTAAAAAAAGGCTGTTAATCATCAATAAAATGAAAAATTCTATAGAATTCACAAATTTCAGAAGGAAGGAAATGAATGAGAATGAATAGCAATTTAGTCAAATCTGCAAAGGAAGAAAACTATTGTATAATAATGCTTATAAGTGATGGGTTTAGCTCAGCGAAGTACTTGCCTATCATGCATGAGTCCCTGGATTTGATCCCTATCACTAACAACAACAACAACAAAATTTGTAAAGGAAAAGGAAAAGAATAAAACATATCAATTAATGCACTAATTATAAATTGAAACCACTGAATCCAGTGTGAATCTATTACACTGGATTAATGCTATGGTTTGGATCTTCAATTCTACCTCCTCCCGTCAAAAACCTCATATTTTAAATTGCTAGCCCCTAGTGAAGCACTATTCAGAGATGGGGCTTTTTTGAGAGGTGAATGGATCATAAGAGCACTGGTCTCATGAACAGATTAATCCATTCTAAGTCATGGAGAACCCAGTTAAAATGCTCATTGCAAGGTAGAAGAGAAACAGCAATGCTATTTTATTAAAACTGAAGGACTAAAAATAGAAGATCTTAGTGTGTAAGACAAAAAGAATCACAAAACACTTCAGTGTTGAAAGTATCAAAAATATTACAATAGAAAAACTAATATAAGGGATGAGAAACTGAAAATATAAATGAAATAAATTGCTCTCAATCTTAATTATGAAGAAAAAAGACAGTAAGTGAAACTATGATATTAGTAAGGAAAAAGAGAAATAAGCACAAGTACAAAAGTGATTTAAAAAAAAGAATTATAAGACAATGAAGCATGTAATTATTAGCGATGAATTTAAGGACCAAGAAGAAGGAATACTTTTAAGTGAGACTTAATACAAGTAAAAATAATAAGTGTCAAACTTATTAGTGAATAGGTAAGTTATCATATCAAAAAGGTGAATACCAGCAACGGAAGCAGATGGCTTCATAGCTGAGTTCTAGTTAATTTTAAAGAACTCATCAGTTAATTTCTAACAAGTTTAAAAATACTGCAGACCATGAAGAACCAAAATGGAGCTGTCATATTTCACTGCATTAATATGGCAAAACATTACTGCTAAAGCCTTATGACATGGTGGAAAAATGTCACATAGGAGTAGGAATGAAAAAAATTAGGTAAAATGTTTGCTAAGAGAATTCATGAAACACAAGAAAAATACACGCTAAGCAAATAAACCCAGAACTGAAAGATATTCCTTTTCAGAAAGTTGAACAGTGTATTTAATAAACATTTTTACAAGAGAAAAATCAATTATCAGCAATCAGAGGCATGCCAGCTATTTTTACTAATATACAAAAGTAAAAAAATGTAAGTTATAATTTAAATGTTATTTTAAGTTCAATAAAAAATATACGACTGAAGAGATAAAACTATCAGTCTTAATTATGTAATTGTTCACTGAGAAACCTAAGACTGTTGTAAAAATTATCACAAGTATTTTAAATTTGCCATGAAATATGAATAAAATAATAATTTGGAAAAATTAATAACTATTCATACAAGGAGAAATTTCTTAGAAATGGAAATAAAGAATAGCTCCATTAACAATAACAGTAAAACTATATAATAGCCAGAAGAAATATAACTACCAAAAAAAGAAAAATCAAGACGGACACAAATAGAAAAACACATCATGCTCCAGGGAGGCAAGACTTAATGACATAAAAGTGGCAATTATACTTCAAAACAATATAAATTAATGCATTTCAATGGAAAAAACAGTCTGTTTTAAATTGATACTTAAATGATCTCAAGAGAAGCCCAGGTAAGTGCGATAAAGAGTAACAGAAAGTCTTGCTTTTTAATTTTTTTTTCCTTTTTCTTTTATTATTCATATGTGCATACAAGGCTTGGTTCATTTTTTTCCCCCCTGCCCCCACCCCCTCCCTTACCACCCACTCCGCCCCTCCCTCTCCCCCCCCCCAATACCCAGCAGAAACTATTTTGCCCTTATTTCTAATTTTGTTGTAGAGAAAGTATAAGCAATAACAGGAAGGGACAAGGGTTTTTGCTGGTTGAGATAAGTATAGCTATACAGGGCATTGACTCACATTGACTTCCTGTGCGTGGGTGTTACCTTCTAGGTTAATTCTTTTTGATCTAATCTTTTCTCTAGAAAAAAATTGTATGATGGCCAGGAGTCTTGGTGCATACCTGTAATGCCAGCACTCAGGAGGCTGAGGTAGGAAGATAACTTTCCAGGCTCCCTAACCTACATAGAGACTGTTAGGATCTCAGCCATCTTAGATGCTTCCACAGTGTGACAAGCCAACACTTGCAGGGTCGCCAGCAGCACAAATATCCTATTTGGCAGGAATGTGACTTAGCGGAAGAAGTGGTATCCTAGCAACAGCTAATTGCAAGAATTTCCCCCAACCCAGAGTAGCATTTAACCACTCCCTCAAAATATAACTGTCCCAGGCTGTGAGCAAAGAGCAGGCACTAGCTTCGGCTGATGTCCCTCTCCACAGGTTCCCGAATAAGCCTATGTTGCCTCTGTTTCTTTCCTTTTCTTGCAGCACTTGAGACCCCATCAGAAAAAAACGAAACAAAAAACTATGGAACCACGATAATCAAATCATTAAGAGCAGAATAGAGTATGTAGATCCAAACTTATGTAAGGATTTAAAATATGGCAAAGGAGATATGGCAAAGGAGATCTAGAGGATAGAGGTTCCAGACCACCCTGGGTAAAAAGTTCGGGAAACCTCATCTCAACCTGTAGCTGGGTGTGGTGGCAAGAACCTGTCATCCCAGCTACTTAGGAAGCATAAATAGGTGGACCAGAGTCCAAGCCAGTCAGGCATACATGCAAGACCCTATTGGATAAAAATGAAAACCAAAAGGGTTGGGAGAATTGTTTAAGTGGTTGCGTACCTTCCTAGTGAGTTAGCGGCCCTGAATTCAAATCCCAATACCAACAAAAAAAAAAAGGCAATTACTTTTGGTGTGGCATGGTAGTGCACACCGGTAATCCCATCATTCAGGAGACTGTGGCAGGACGATTCAGAGTCTGCAGCCAGCCTGGGCTACACAATGAACCCTATCTCAAAAAAAAAAAAAAATTCCCAGTCTTAAACCAAAATTTTAAGGTCGTTTCTTTCTAAGTTCACCTTAGTCCAAAATGTAGACACTTTCTTTTTAGATTCCAATGATTTGTATAATTCTAACACTGATTATATGTATTGCATGCACTATTTTCAAGAGTTCCCAAGCTGAGCAACCTTTTTTGGGATCCCTGCCAACTCTAGAAGTTGTACTGTTTGCTACTTTTCTATCTTAATAAATTCTCCCACTTTAAAAAAAAAAAGAATTCTCAAGCTACTTGAATGTGTTTATTTCCACACAAATAAACGGCTCTGCTAAATTATTTCCTTCTCCACAACAGCCGAACTAAATGCCGCTCCCCACTCCAGCCAAATCTGTAGTGCTTTTTTTTTTTTTTTTTTTTTAAAAGAAAGGGAAGACCCAGCTACTTTACTTCTGAAGAGGCAAGAACAGATCAGGCTGGCTAGACCTGAATGCACAGACAACAGGTGGGAATGGCGCGTCCGGCCTAAGTGAGAGGTGTCCACACCGCCCCCAGCTTAGTACTTTCGCAACAGCAGAGTGGACCCACGGCCTCTTCACCTAGTGAGAATGGACCCACGGCCTCTTCACCTAGTGAGAATCAGAGCTAAGTTCTCAAGCGTGAGGGCCCCTCTTTGCAGGATCTCGTCTGAGCCGCCTCAAAAAACACAGCCAGCAAATGACAGTGGCACGCTTACAGAACGTTCTCAAAGCGGAAGGGAACGCCTGGGAAGCAGTCCCCCGGACCCGCCCCGCCCCCGCAAGCAATTGTCTGCCCCCTCCCCCCCCCTCCCCCCCCAGCGCAGGCTCAGGGCTCTCCAAAGTCTTGCTGTTGTGGCAAGCTCCATCCACCCAGCTATTGTGCCGTACTACTTTCCGTCCGAATCCGCGGCCGCGAGTAATAGGTCCGCCACAGGGTCCCAAGTCCCACGGCTACAAATACAGTCAAGGCTGTCGCAGGCCCCTACAGGCCAGGGCAGTGGCGCAGGATGATGACGTAGCCCAAACGTCAGTAATCGGCGTCTCCAATACAAGCGCACACAGCACCCTCGAAGCCGAGGCGAATCCCTGCCGCGTTATCGACGTGAGAGGCGATCATGCGCTCTTGGTTGCTTGGCGATTATTGTGCTTGAAAATATGCCCAGCCAGGCAGCGTCTTCCCTGGCGCAGCGTTGCAGAGAGAAGAGTTAAGACTTACCTATAAGCGCTTGTATTGGAATCTTGGGAGGGGGGTGGGAGGCAAGCTGGGGAAAGGGAAGGTGCTTCGGAGGCAGGCGCCTCTGCCATGAAAAAGATCTTTGGCTTCAGGAATAAAGGCCCGTCGCCTTCAGGATCCTCTGCCCGCCCTCGGAGGAACTGCGTGGGCTTCGGGCATGAGAGTGCTAATAACCTGGACTCGCCCAGGTACCACATCCAAGATAAGGATATGGGAAAGATCCACAAGGCTGCAAGCGTGGGTGACGTAGCCAAAGTGCAGCATATCCTTCTTCTTGGAAAAAGTGGCGTGAATGATAGGGACAGGAAAAACAGGTAAAATAGCGTCCGCCGGGGGAGGCGGGCTGGTGTGAGGAATTGGGCACGTTCCCTGCTGGGCTCCGTACTGGAGGACATGGGAGGACCCAGGCTCTCTTTTTACCAAGAATGCTTGGCTTGCTTCTCACCGCAGGCTCCTCAGCACCTGGGGTGTGCAAACCTTGAAGGGGGTCTAGTGCCCAGGCCTTTATAAATAGCAAAACAAGCCTAAGCTGGTTTCTGATCCACTTATAATTCCCCTCATAGAGCCTTTTTTTGTCTAATTAAAGCGACTTAACCAACGAAATTAAGTGTATACAGCATTTTATTTTTAATGTACACATTTTAAAAACATACTATATACATTGTAGAAAAGTGCATGAAATAGTTAACATATCAGCTTCACTGCTAAACAGTCTTTAAATACAATATCCATTTTGTGTCAGTGTACACCTATTATGTATGTTCTTCACAAAGGGTGACTTTACCAGGAAACTTTGAAGTGGGAAGATGGCTCCAAGTTCTTGACTAGGAACTCTGATTTCCAAAATGTTAACTCTATACGCTTATAAGTTTTACATAAACCAAATGAAAATATCAAAGTTTTAACATTTTTGAGTTCCACATGCTTCAATCCTTGAAACTTTCATGTTTACCTGTCTAATCTAGCAAGGCGAGAGGTTTATTACTGTGTAGAATTCAACTTCATTTGAAGCTTTTTCTCCTTCCTTTCAAACAAAAGCATCTCTAAGGTAGGAAATTGCAAAATATAACTTTTAACAGTCCTTTTCAAATTTTATAACAATATGAAATACTGATATTAAGCGTCAGTAATATCTTGATTTCCACACATCCTATAAATCTAAATATATTGAGCCATACCTACTCATTGGAGTCCTGAGTTTCCTTTGGCTTCAATTTTCCTGAAAAATCAAAGGATTACTTTCTTAAATTTTTGTTGTTCTCATTCAGCCATCTTTACTGTACACTTTTTGGAGGGATTGGACTGGGGTTTGAACTCAGTGCTTCCCATTTGCAAAGCAGGTGTCTACTGCTTTAGCCACACCTCCAGTCCATTTTGCTCTGTTTATTTTGGAGATGCAGACTTGGGAACTTATCTGTCCCCACAAGCCTTTAAACACAATCCTCCCAATCTCTGCCTACCTATACGCTTTCAAGAAATAAAATTTTTTTAAATGCTAACTATATTGACTTGAAATGCCATAGGTCTGGTGTGTATATAATATTTCACTTAATGTAAGGCACCATGGTGTCTGTGATGGCCCTTTATTTTGTGTATTAAGAAGAAATTTAAATGCTGACAGTTATAGTTGTAATACATCATGAATTGTAAGTGGCATCCCAATGTCAGAATCGTTAAAATTTGAGAAAACGCATGTTATGTAAAAAATGCATAATCCTTACAACTTGTCTGCAAAGTATGGTTTTTTTCCTAATAGTTGTTACTTTGTGATAAGTCATTGTATTATTTTACTTAATTAAAATGTCTTTGTTAAGCAGTAGTAATACTTTTAATATCTAATAATTACTGAGTTGTTATTTGTACTAGAAACTGTTCTAAATACTTTGCATAGATTCTCATTTAAGCATCAGAATGGTGTCCTTTAAGATGGCTACTATTTTTAGTCACCATTTTATGGATGATGATATTGAGGCATGGAAAGGCTAAGTGATATCTTGTAAGTAATATAAATTAAAATAGGATTCAAACCCAAATTCATCTAAATCTTTCTATTCAGATTGGTTGCTCTGAGCTGGGAATGTAACTCAGTGATCTAGTGCTTATTTACCATGTGTGAGGCCCAGGTTTCCATCTCTAGCATCATACACATGCAAAAAAAGAAAAAAGCCAGTCAAATAGTCTGTACTTTCACCAATTTAGTGAATAATAACAAGTAATAAATATTGTACTTTCATCAGAAAAAAGTACGTGTTTTCAAGGCAGAGGAATAACATGCTATTTAATGTTTACAATGACAAGAATATATATTTGAGCTAGTGTTCTATAATTTTCTAAAAAGTCCTTTACTTTTCACAGGACTGCTCTACATTTTGCCTGTGCTTATGGCCATCCAGAAGTGGTGACTCTCCTAGTAGAGAGAAAATGTGAAATTGATGCCAATGACAGTGAGAACAGCACTGCTCTAATTAAGGTATATAGCAGCCAACATTTTAGCGTGAGATAACTTTGATTTGAATGCTTAGAATAAAAATGAGTTTATTTTACTTAAACAGATAAAACCTGTGGAATATTTATTTTTAATTTCTTAAATTTACAACCTATTTCTTGGTGCAAAAACAGGCTGTACAATGTCAAGAAGAGGAATGTGCCACTATTCTGCTGGAACATGGTGCTAATCCAACCATTATGGATGCCAGAGGCAACACTGCTCTGCACTATGCTGTCTATAGTGAGAACACATCAATAGCAGCCAAATTACTTGCACACAATGCAAATATTGAAGCAAAAAACAAGGTATAGACCAACTTTATTGCCAAAATATTTGAAATGCATTTATTTTTTAACAGTGCCATATGGTGATGATCAATCTTAATTAGATTGAAAGATGTTTAGATTAGTAAAGCACACCTCTAGATGTGTCTGTGAGAGTGTTCCCAGAGACAGATCAAGAGGACTCTGACCTAATCAATGGTTTAATCTATTGATGGATTCAAAATGTGAATAGACTATTGTGAAGTAAGTAGCTGTGGAAGGTGGGGTATAGTTGGAGGCAGTGGGTCACTGGGGGTGTGCCTTTGAAAGGTGTATCTTGGCCCTGGTCTCCTTCTGTTAGACTCCCCTTTGTTTCTTGGCTGCTAAATGGTGAACAGCTTTCTTCACCATGCCTTTTCCTCCATTAGTTTCTGCCTTCTTAAAAGCAATGGAGCCAGTTGATCATGGACTGAAACTATAAATCAAAAATATTTCCTCCCTTAAGTTGGTTCTCTTAGGTATTTATCATGGTGATAAAAAGTCTAACACAAATGTAGGGTCCATTTTCCATATTTAAAAGCTCAAGCATTCTCTGAATGAAAATATTTTGAAATAACTTAATTATCCAAGATTTCACTTTAAATATTGATACTTTTAAAGAAATATTAGAAGTCAAGACTTTCTTTTATGTATTCATGGCATTTGTGAACATACTGAGCTTATTTAAGGTAAAACTTTAAAAAAAAATTTTTTCTCACTGAAGTGAGTTTTAAAACGTGCATGTCTTAAGTTCTTCCCTAGAGATTTTGATTTGTAAATTTACTGAGGACTTGCACAAGGCCATTTCTAAACATTCCCTCACTATTCTGATATAACCAATAGAAAAAGTGTAATGTATGAATTCCCAGATCTCAAAAACTTGAAAAAACACTTGGAGTTTCATTAGGAACAAAAGTCTTCTTTCCAATAATATTAGTCCAACTTTCATCTCTTTTTCTACCATCATGGTTGAGAAGTTAAAAGGAGTGATATATATTACTTACAGAATAATACCCTTTTCCTTTCAATTATTCCTTTCAGTCATTCACTGCCATTCAGAAGGTCGTTAAGCTGAGTGTGGTGATGTTACCTATAATCTCAGTACTCCTGAGGCAGGAGGATGAGGCCAGCTTGGGCTATCTAGTGAGACCCTGTCTTTAAAAAAAAAAAAAAGTCTTGAGTTCAAGTCTTGAACTCTTTTTTTTTTTGATAGACTAGCTCACTGAATCTGCTAAGTTCATAGAACCCTGGCATAAGCAGACTGGCAGTGTTTAACACTGAGAACCATGAAGTTAGTAAGAATCTAGATGGAAATCCTTTTAATAATCTAGTTTCAGCAGGCCTGTGCAACTAATTATTCACTTAATTAACAGTCTGGGAGAATAGAAATGGAATATAAATTAGTCAGTGTTAGAAAAATTACTACAATATGAGGTCTAATTTTTTGGTAAAACACAATACTAAAAAAGAACAGATTTCACATGCAAACACTTGCTTTGTACACAACTATTTGGAAACACACTCGTAGCCAAGGAAAACAGGTCTATGTAGTCCACAGAGATATGTAGTTTGCCTCCATAAATTGAGTCATCATTTAAACTTCAGAAATTCCTGCAGAAATCTGGATTTCAAGCTGCTCTCACAGAATTGAATGTGGTCTTCTTTGAGCCCACATCATTTGTGGGAGGAGGGGGATTGTGAGACCCCCACCTCAAAACTGTATATGGTGGCCTGGTCCTCCCATCCCAGCTAGTGGGGGAAGCGTAAATAGGAGGATCACCACTTAGGTTAGCCCATCCATAAATTCTGAAAAATAATGAAACCCTATTTGAAAAATTATGAAAGCAAAAAGGGCCAGGAGTGTGATTCAAGTGGTGCAGCACCTGGTTAGCAAGCACAAGCCCCAAAGTTCAAAACCTCAGTACTGCCATGAAAAGAAAACAAAAAAAAAAAACCCACCCTGCTAAAGAGTGGATTATCATTAAAAGTGAGAATAAACTTTTCTCCTGAGTTTTCTAATCGCTAAGAAATAGATCTTTCATCTTATAGTAGAAAATTCATGGACCATTTAGTAATAAGCAATCAAAGTCCATTTGAAGCCCATGTCTTTTAATTTAGACACTGCACTGGAACAGGAGTGCAGGACATTGGAAACCGGTCCCATAAATAGAAGACAGTCAAGCAAGTTCCTATAACCTGGAGGAAACTTCCATGTTGTTGTAAAACTCTCAAAACTTTATCCCTAAAACTTACTCCTCAAGTGTTAATATTTGCCACAAAAAAACTATTGTCAAGTAAGGATTAAGCAAAGTTACAGAGATTTCTTTAATACTGAACATGTAATGCATAGTATTTTATAGTTCTGGACATGCAGTACACATAATCATGGAGTCTCTCTGTTGAGACATGATACTTATAGAAAAGTAAATATTTTTTGGATTATAGATTGAGAAACCATGCTCAAGAAATGATTATTGAGCTTACTAACTCAATAAAATACCTAGGGTTTGGGGCCTTGGAGATAAAGGTTCAATGCTTGACCTCAAAAACCTCTTGGTTTAAATGAGGAACAGTCACATAATTCCAAAAGTACTATGAAAAATGCTGTGATACACCAATGTCATTATCAAATTTTTACATTTTAAAGGTAGTGGTTAGTTATATAAATTCCTGATAAAGATTGCTGGCAACTTGAAGAATTCTCTACTGTTACTTGTTATTGGTAGACAAAACCATATTTCTATATTTATACTAATGTATTCCTCTCATAAAATAGAAGTTCCCTAGTAAAGTTTTATATAAAAGTTTAAAAATACATGTAATTAATTTAACCCCTCAGAACTATCTCAGTGGTAAAGTAGTTTTTGTTATTGTTTTTGCTTGCTTGTTTGTTTTAATAAAGGTATTATATATAAGTTGCACAAAAAAAAAAAAATGCTGTGATAGAGCAAAGATCTGTAGAACATTGAAATGTTTGACCTGAGTTTTCAAGAGGATCTAAGATCATATGGCCAGTCTAACAGCCATATGATCCAAATGAAAGGAGCAGCAAATGTGAAAGTGAAGTAGGGTGAGAAGGAAGAGATAGTACTTTTCATATTACATATTTATACTTATGAGGCCATTCATAAGATTTTCAATTCAATTGAGAAATACATAATTTTCTGTGCTACAAATTGTTTTTGTTGTTTTACAGGATGACCTCACACCACTTTTACTGGCTCTAAGGGAAAATAAACAGCAGATGGTGGAATATTTAGTAAGGAAGAAAGCAGATATTCATGCAATTGACAAGTTGGGAAGGTATAGAAATTTCATTCTGTTTTTTTAAACCTTAGTGTAGTAACAATCCCTTGAGTGGTAATAATCACTCAAGTCAGAAATTTGTAGGGAGAAGATTAACTTAATTATTGGGCTATACTGAGAAATATCAAAATATATTGACAGGTATAAAAGTAGTCCATGTTAGGACCCGGAATCCTATTCCCCCGAGAGACAGAGAGCCAGGCGTGAATGCAATCAACAAAGCAGAGTTTATTGGACTGGCTAGCCAGGGTCGAGCTCCCACACGGACACGCAGGACCGTTAGGAAAGCAAGACCCTGAGCTCTTAGGGGGAAATCTATATAGACTGCAGTGGCGTGCATATTTTTGTTATCAACATTAGACAAGCAGGCAGAGCACATCCTGCATGTACTTCACAATCTTGCTCGTACCTAAATCTTGCTCGTATCTCCATCTTGCTCGTATCTCACATCTTGCATTCTATATGCCCTAACTGAGCCCTGCCTCATTGCTTATCTTATCTACATGGGATGTTTGGTACTGGTTTCTCCAACAAGGGGGTTGGGGCCCGCTGAGACCTCATATTCCTTTCATTCCCCCTTTCTTATGGCCTAAATTGAGGAATCATCCTCGAGAGGATGAAGAGCCTGATATTGTTGGCGGAGGACCAGAAGTTGGATAGTATTAATTCGACTTTTGACAAAAGTCATAAGTCGGTTTAGAATCCAGGGTCCTATGGTAACAAGCAGTAGGATGATTATTATTGGCCCTGCCAGTGCAGATAAAAGGGTAGCCAACCATGGGGACTGGTTAAACCAAGACTCGAACCAGCTTTCCCCTGCCTCTTTTTCTCGTTTTCTTTGTTCCAGGCTCTTTCGGAGTTTAGACATGGAGTCACGAACAACTCCGGTATGGTCAGCGTAAAAATTTTTTTCTAGGTGGCTAATGGAGGTTTCTATTCTCTCTATATCTTCGTCTATGGCTGCGCGCAGCGAAGACATCCCTTTATGTTGAGTAGCCAGGGAGGCTATGCCGGTCCCTGCCCCAGCCACCCCTAGGCTAAGTAGGGTAGCAATGGTTAGTGTAGAAATAGGCTCTCTCTTCTTTCTCTCACCTGTTCCTATATTCCAGTATGAATATAGACTTTCCTCCGAATGATAGAGGATGCGGGGCAGCACAACCACTATAACACAGAATTCTTTAGAGCTGTTAAACACCTTAGTTGATAGGCATGGGGTGAGTCCGGACCGCGAGCATAGCCACCACCCATTGTCCTTTGGAATTACCCATTTAATAGCATTTCCCCAGGTAGAACTGGCGTTAATAACAGTACATAAGTCCCGTCTGTTCTTTGGCACTTTTCCTAAGCAGGTTCCTTGGCCGTTTACCTGCTGGATGGTCAGACCTCTCTATGGTTGAGGGAAGGTGGTGAGTTGTGGAAGGTTGGGGAGATGGCTTTACATTGGGCGGCCTAAGTACCTTATTGGGCCTACTGCTGTGGACGGTGGCCCTATGGGCTCAATTTTTAATCTGACCACTATGGTCGAGCCAGCATGTCCACCATATTTATAAAATACAAGTCCCCATACCTTACCTTGTATCCACCCAGGGGTGTCCTTCTTGCCAGTTTCAGTGAAAGTGACCTTGATTCTATCTAGATCCGTGGGCTGGCATTTATGGGTGGGTATTGGAATTCTGTGCCCCTTAATATCCCATTTACAAAGGCAAATTTGACTAGGTCTGATTTTGATATCCCCATTTCCATTCACTATCATTGGATGTGACACATGCCCATGACCTACAGAAGGAGTATTGTATCCCCCACATTCCTGGTTCTTTTTGTGTGGCCGGGGCAGGCATAAAACCCATAACGTCGGGCTGACTCCGGGGCAGTAGACTTGTAGGCAGGATTGATGTCTCTGAAGCAGAACTGAAGCTCCGGCCACCAAGTTCCTATGGGGGCAGTGCGAGTAGTCTCGTTGAGGGTGGTATGAGTCTCCCCATCGGTGAGTATCCAGGTTTGCTTATAGGGCTGGTGAGGGTTGGTTTCTGCGAGGCTCCCGCTCTGGGCATTGAGCAAGATCAGAGCGATCAGCCACCCCATCCGTGGCTGCTCCTGAAGGCTCTGCATGTTCCCGGGGCCACAAAAGCTTTAGCTTTAATGGTTGTCTGGGTGCCGCCGTACAGTCCACTCCTTGACCCCTTCTTGTTTTTGATGATTGGCTCGACGCACACGTGGGGAGTGGTGGGATCCAAGGTCCGATGCATCAAACCTTGAGGGCGGTAGGGGTAGTAAACAGTACAACATAAGGTCCTTTCCATCTAGGCTCTAGGGTTTTGGACTGATGCCTTTTAACCCATACCATGTCACCCGGGACTATGCCATGTTCCGGAGCCGGGTCCCTCTTAACAGCGTGGTATGCTTGAATTAAGGGCCAAATCCGTTGTTGCACTTTAGCTAAAGCCTGCAACATGGTCAGGTAATTTGGGGCCAGATCACCTAGTTCTGGGCTTAAGGTCCTCTGAATGATGGGGGGTGGAGCCCCATACAGGATCTCAAAGGGAGTTAGCCCATGGACATAGGGGGAGTTCCGGACTCGGAAGATGGCCAAGGGAAGGAGCGTCACCCAATCACCGCCAGTCTCCAGGGCCAATTTGGCTAAAGTCTCCTTTAGTGTCCTATTCATCCTTTCTACTTGCCCTGAGCTCTGGGGGTTATATTCACAATGTAGCTTCCAATTGGCCCCCATAGTCTGGGCTAGTCCCTGCAGGACTTACTAACAAAAGCCGGACCGTTATCTGACCCAATTGCCTCGGGCACCCCATATCTGGGTATGATTTCCTCTAGCAAAGCCTTTGCCACTACCTGACTCGTCTCCTTCTTTGTAGGAAAAGCCTCCACCCAGCCTGAAAAGGTATCTATGAATACCAGCAAATATTTGTACCCAAACTTTCCCGGTTTTACCTCAGTAAAATCCACTTCCCAACTTCTTCCCGGAGCCCTCCCCCGTTCCCGAGTACCTGTATGGTGCCCCTCCCTTCGTCCTGGTTTCATGATTGTGCAGCTGGCACAATCTTCCACAATTTGGCGGACTGCTATGGTCTGGTTCGGAAATCGGAGCTGCGCAGATGTCAACAAGTCTAGTAATTTTCTCCGCCCCAAATGGGTGGACTTATGTAAGTTAGCCAACAGGAATCGTCCGAGTTTTTCAGGCAGAATTAACTTGCCTTCCAAGTCGCTTTTCCATCCGTCTTCCCCTTCTCTAAAGGGGGAGTGGGCTCTCATCCAAGTGAAATCCTCTGTGGAGTATTCTGGTCGGGGGGGTAGCGGAGGGAGCTCTGGGACCGGCACGTCTATCGCCGCAACCGTGGAAGGTTGCCCTGTCTCCATGGGAGGACTCACCATTGCTACTCTCTTTGCTTCTTGATCTGCTCTGTTGTTACCGACAGCTTCCGGCGTCTTGGCAGACTGGTGGCCTGGGACATACATCACTGCCACTGCCTTCGGTTTTTCCACTGCCATTAATAGACGCTGGACTTCGGCTAGGTTCTTTAGATGTTTTCCTTCTGCTGTGCGGAATCCTCTTTCGCGATAGATGGCCCCGTGGACATGGATGGTACCGAAAGCATAGCGGCTATCGGTGTAGATATTGACTCGCTTTCCTTTTGCCCTCTCCAGGGCCTCTGCCAAGGCAATTAATTCCGCTTTTTGGGCTGATGTTCCGGGTGGGAGGGCGCTGCTCCATACCGTATTTCCTTCTTGGTCGACTACAGCTGCCCCTGCCCTTCGGGCTCCATCTTGGAAAAAACTGCTTCCATCCGTGTACCAGTTTAATTTGCAGCCGGACAGGGGGGTATCCTTTAGGTCAGCCCGTACCTGTGTAACTTCGGAGAGGAATTCTTTGCAGTTATGGACAGGTGTCTGCAGTTCCGGGTTAGGCAACAAGGTGGCAGGGTTCAGGATTACGGGATCTGTGAATGTGATCCGAGGGGAATCCAACAAGAGCCCCTGGTAGTGGGTGAGCCTGGCATTCGTCATCCATTTCCCAGGGGGTTGTTTAAGGATTCCCTCCACCGGGTGAGGGGCCGTTACCCAGAGGGCCTGTCCAAAGGTTAGTTTATCGGCTTCTCTCACCAGCACGGCAATGGCCGCTATGATGCGGAGGCAGGGGGGCCATCCTGCCGCTACTGCGTCTAATTTCTTGGAAAAGTATGCCACTGGTCTCTTCCAGGGACCTAGCTGTTGGGTCAAGACTCCTTTGGCTACCCCCTTTTTCTCATCTACAAACAGAGTGAATGGTCTTGTAGGATCTGGCAAGGCTAAGGCAGGGGCCTGCAAAAGAGCGTCTTTTAGCTGATCAAAGGCCTGTTGTTCTCTCTCTCCCCAACTCCAATCTGGAGCTTCTTTGGTGGCCTCATATAGGGGTCTGGCTATTTCCGCAAATCCTGGAATCCAGAGTCTACAGAACCCCGCGGAGCCCAGGAATTCTCTCACCCCCCTAGTGGATGTCGGGGATGGGATAGCCAGAATAGTCTGTTTCATGGCATCAGTCAGCCATCTTGCCCCATCTGCAATCCGATAACCCAAATATGTCACTGACCTTTTACAGATGTGAGTTTTCTTGGCACTTGCCCGATACCCCAGCTCACCTAATTCCGTTAGCAGGTGTTCAGTAGCCTTGATGCACTCCTCTCGGGTTTCTGCCGCTAACAGTAAGTCATCAACATACTGTAATAGAGTGACTCGTGGGTGGCTCCGACGAAAAGGTTCCAGGTCCTGGCTCAGGGCCTCATTAAACAGGGTGGGAGAGTTTTTAAATCCTTGCGGCAGTCTGGTCCAAGTGAGCTGTCCGGATTGGCCCCCATCTTCTTGCCATTCGAAAGCAAATAGCGGCTGACTAATTTCTGACAATGGAATGCTGAAGAAAGCATCTTTCAAATCAAGGGTTGTATACCATACTTGCGAGGGGGGTAGGTGGCTGAGCAAGGTATAGGGATTCGGAACGGTGGGATGAATGTCCTCCGTCCGCTCGTTTACCTTTCGTAGGTCTTGCACAGGCCTATAGTCCCCGCTTCCCGGCTTTCGGACGGGGAGCAGAGGAGTATTCCAGGCAGACTGACAAGGTCGCAGTACTCCTTCCTTTATTAGCCTGTGGATATGAGGGGCTATGCCTCTTCGGGCCTCCTCAGGCATAGGATACTGTTTCACCCGAATGGGGAGAGCAGAAGCCTTCAATTGTATAACTACGGGCGGGAGGTGTTTGGCGAGGCCGGTTCCCGCAGTCTCCGCCCAGGCCGTGGGAAATCTTTTTACCCAATGAGTCATGTCCCCTCCTGGTTCCTGTTGACTCTCAAACAGACGATGCTCGTCAGCCAATGATAGGGACAAGACATGAATCGGGCTCCCTTCTCGATCAGTCACAATTATTCCATCTGGTTCAAAATGGATATGGGCCCCTATTTTGGTGAGTAGGTCCCGTCCGAGCAGGGGAGCGGGGCTCTCAGGGACGACCAAGAAGGAGTGTGTGACCTGGTGTTTTCCTAAGTTCACCTTTCTTTTGGTAGTCCATGTACATAACTGCGTACCGGTGGCCCCCTGAACAACACTTGTTCGTGCCTTGTTCAAAGGTCCATGTGCCTTGTTTAAAACCGAATATTGGGCGCCGGTATCCACCATGAACCCCATCGGCTTCCCCTCCACATGCATTGTTACCCAGGACTCGGGGAGGGGGTCTGAGCCCCGTCTCCTTCAGTCCTCTTCTCCGGCTAGGAGGACTCTGGCCTGCTCTACTGCTCGTTCCCTTTCCCTGTTTTCCCCCGGTCTCCTTCCAAACCCTCTTCTTCCCTTTAACTTAGGACATTCTCTCTTCCAATGCCCCGTTTCCTTACAGTAAAAACAGTGTTCCTTATCCGGGGTCCTGGCGTGGCCCCCTCCCTGGGTTGGTCCCGGACACCCGCTAGGAAAATACGAGCCATTTCTCTCTGTTGCTTTCGGTTTTCCTTAGCCTGGAACTCCCGGTCCTCCTTTCTCAATTTCTCCTGGGCTCCCTGTCTTCCTTTCTCTGTCTTTCCTCCCTTTCTTCTGGAGTTTCCCTAGCGGTAAAGACTTTTTCTGCTACCTGTAGCATTTCCCTTATAGTCATCTCCCCTAAGTTTTATTGAGTTTTCTCCTAATGTCTGGAGCTGCCTGATTAATGAATGAGAGTACCACAGCAGACCGGTGGAGGTCCGCCTCAGGGTCAATAGGGGTGTACTGACGGTATGCCTCATAGAGGCGCTCTAAGAAACCGGCTGGGCTTTCGTTTTCCCCTTGAATGACTGCTTTTACTTTTGCAAAATTGGTGGGCCTTCTAGCGGCCGCTCGGAGACCGGCCATAAGAGTCTGGCGGTAGATCCGAAGACGCTCCCTACCTTCTGCGGTCCCGAAATCCCAATCAGGGCGGCGTAGGGGAAAAGCCTCGTCTATGGCCGGTTGGAGAGTTGTGGGTCTCCCATTATCCCCCAAGACGTTCTTCCTCGCTTCGTTGAGGATGCGCTCTCGTTCCTCCGTCGTAAAAAGAGTATTGAGCAGCTGATGACAGTCATCCCAAGTGGGACGGTGTGTATGCATGATGGACTCCAGGAGATCTATGAGACACTTGGGGTCTTCAGAAAAGGGCGGGTTCTGCGTCCTCCAGTTATATAGATCACTGGAGGAGAAGGGCCAGTACTGAAACTGTTGCCCTCCTCCCGGTCCCCCTTGGCCCACCATCCGGACTGGAAGTGTAGGGACAGTTTCCTCCCCCTGTGTTGATGAGGGGGGCCCGTCTTCCCCCTCCCTTTCCCGGATCCCTCGGGGGCGAAGTCTTCGACCCATTCCTCCTCCTGCTGCCAGTCCTGTTGAGGAGGATGAGGAAATTTCCTCCTCCGGGGCACTGGCTTGGCCAGGGGGAGTCACGTATGGAGGCGGCCGATCTTCCTCTGCCCCTGCGAGGGATGGGTAAAGGGGGGAACTCTCTGGTAAGACCGGAGATGGTGAAGGAGATGCCCTAATTTGAGGACCGGTCAAGGTGGGAAGAGGAAGTTTTTCCTCCTCCTTTATGACCAAGGCGGGCGTGACTGGGGTTTTAGCCCCGGGGGCCGAACTGGAGGGGTGGGTCAGAAAAACTGTTAACCAAGGGGGAGGGTTCCTCACCAGATCCTCCCAAACCAAAATGTAAGGAACTTGGTCTGGATGGCCTCGATTGTCTGGCTGAAAAATGACTGCTTTAACCTTAGTGATCAGGTCTAGGGAGAGGGAACCTTGAATGGGCCACCCGACTCCAAAGGTGGGCCACTCTGCAGAACAAAAGGTGTCGAACTTACCTTTCTTGATGACCAGACCCGCATTTAAGGCCCTTTCTTTAACTTCTGGAAAGTGAGAAAGGATCAGAGACTTTGGGGTTGTTTGTCCCTGTCCCATTGTGGAAGGAGACTCAAACACCAAGAGAGATAGAACAAAAAGGGTAAAGGCAACAATAATTCCACACACACACAACACTCTCCAGCACTCGCTCGGACCGGTCCTTCTCTCACACTGGTGCGCACCCCATTCAACCTCCTCACCGTCCAACTGGGATATCAGGCCGAAAGGCGTCCACTTGACGGGTGGTCGGTCGACTAGCTCAATTAGTTCTTCACCTGGCGCCAGGGTTCCTAAAATGCTCGAGCCCAAATGAGAGGAAAGCCTCTCCCAATAGGACCCTGTGGTCCTCCTTGCGAGATTCCCAGAATGAATCTCCCTGGGGATTGGCCGAATCCCCGCCGCGGCCCAAATGGAACACTCAAGTTCCTCCAAATGAGGGTCTGGGATCCCCTCCCAACGCCTAGGACTTGGGATCGCCCCTGCTTTCTCGCAGGCAGGTTCTGTCTCTCGAGAAAATGAAATCTCGGTGGACCTCCAAATGTTAGGACCCGGAATCCTATTCCCCCGAGAGACAGAGAGCCAGGCGTGAATGCAATCAACAAAGCAGAGTTTATTGGACTGGCTAGCCAGGGTCGAGCTCCCACACGGACACGCAGGACCGGTTAGGAAAGCAAGACCCTGAGCCTCTTAGGGGGAAATCTTATATAGACTGCAGTGGCGTGCATATTTTTGTTATCAACATTAGACAAGCAGGCAGAGCACATCCTGCACGTACTTCACATCTTGCTCGTACCTCACATCTTGCTCGTATCTCACATCTTGCTCGTATCTCACATCTTGCATTCCTCACATTCTATATGCCCTAACTGAGCCCTGCCTCATTGCTTATCTTATCTACATGGGATGTTTGGTACTGGTTTCTCCAACAAGGGGGTTGGGGCCCGCTGAGACCTCATATTCCTTTCAGTCCAGGCAACACAAAAGATAGTATGTAACAGGATTTTTATTCCCTTGTAATGATTGTTATTTATGAACTGATTTTATTGGTTCTGTTATCTTATATTAGTGCTTGGAATTTCATTGTTTTAAACTATGAGATAAGTTCAAATAATGTTCCAGAAGGAGATTAGAATTTCCTTTCTTCTTTATTACCATATCTGTCCTGTACCACCTCTCCTCCTGCCAACCTTTGGCCTCTCCAGTGATCTGTTTTTCATGGTAGTGAAAATATCCCAAGCTACTTGAATCTCTGCCTCAGCTCTTCAAAATACATTCAAATTCTGCCTCACAAGGAAGCCATTAAGCAGAATTCTTTGAATTTAAAGTAGATCAGTTGAATTTAAAAGAGCTGGCCCGTTCATGACTCATCTGTATCCATGCATAAAAGAGGGCTTTTGTCAGTTGGAGATTAAGATCATTCTAAGAAAGAGCTGCCTGGTTTAGAGTTTGACTGAGTGGAGAAGGAATAGTAGCAGTCCAAAGCTAGGGCTTTACATTTATGTTTTCTACCTTGGTGTGATTAATTAGTCCACTAGCAGGTAACAATTATGTTATCTAATTTAATGATATATTTATAAATAAATTTATTTATAAATTATATTTGTTTATATTATATTTATATTTTATATTTATAAATTGTTTTATAAATTTGTTTATAGCTGATTTGACCTGAATAAAATAGCCACATAGAATAACAACCAAATTATGGCAATATTTCTGATAACTACAACATTTGAATATTACAACCAGTGAAAAACCATCCATTGAGATTTCACTTGGGATTCCAAAATAGTTCAGCATTAAAGAACAAAGTATTCCATTACTTTACTATTTATCTGAGCATGCTTTTCTGTTATTTCTTTAATCTTAATAAGAACCCTATGAAGACTTTGAGCCTAAAACAATAACTTTGCCCAAGAACAAGTAACTTGCTTACAGAGCTAGGATTTCTTTTAAGTTCAGGGTAGTCCATTCTGTCAAGCTAAACTAGTTAATGTGCTAAGTTGTAGTACCTTCAATTCATGACCATTTTACCTTACTACTTTTTTTTCTTCTGTAATTAAAGCATATCAAAAAGTTTGAAGAACTGACACATTTGAATCAAATGGGATAAAGTTCTGATATTAGATCTGATATTGTCTGAAATACTCCTCAGAATTTAATATATTTATAAAATGTTTTTCATATCAGTATTAAAATAGTAATTTTATTTATCACTTTTTTTATATATGGCAATAGGCAAATACCTTTTGAATATGAAGAAAAGAAACTTAAAAATCCTGAAAACAGCAATCCAGGTAAGATTTCTGACAAAGAATTATGCTTAGTGGTCCTGCCCTAGATTAAAAAAAATAAGAGTAATAAAATTTTGATCACAGAAGAGAAATTTTAAAAATCAGTGTGTAGCTGTGCACCAGCCAGCACATGCCTGTAATCCTAACTACTTGGGAGGCAGAGATCAGGAGGATCTCCATTTGAAGCCAGCCTAGGCAAATAGATCTCAAGACCCTATCTCAAAAATACCCAACACAAGACAGAGTGGCTCAAGTGATAGAGCACCTGCCTAGCAAGCCTGAGGCCTTGAGTTCAAACCCTAGTACCACCAAAAAGAAAAAAAATCAGTGTATAAACTGCATTTATACTTTTTTCTTAATTTCTTTCTAAGTCTAGAATTTAGAGTTACTTAAGAAATTAATTATAGGAAATTTATAGTCTGAAGCAGTAAAAATCTGAAAAAAGTAATTCATTTAAGTTATGCCCTTGTAATCTTTTATCTTTGTGTAGATTAAAAAAATTTAAATTAGTATTCTATAGGTCTTCTCTATATTCATATTAGATAAAATTTGACTTACAAAATTAATTTTCTATTGAATTTTTACAATAAATGGGTTGCATTTATTAAGTGATTATTATCACAGTTGTGTCACTAAAAAGTGATATGTGTCTAAAAATAGATAATTAAAAAATTTTTTTTTCTTTGAGCATGCTAGGCATGCCCCCACCACTTGAGCCACTCCTCCAGCCCTTTTTGTTTTTACTTTTTTAATTTTGTGTTTGAGATAGTGTCTCCCTATGTTTGCCTGGTTTGGTCTCAAACTACAACTCTCCTGCCTCTGCCTCCCAAGCAGAGTTGGGTATGTGTACTACCCAACCCAACTATGTGTACTACCATACCCAACTAAATTATTTATTTTTATATATTTTCAAGTTCTTCAGTTTAGGGAAGAATACCCATGTTCTCTTACTTTGTGCTGTAATTATCTCCAATTTTAAGGTGACTATTTCTTGTTAGAATACATGCAATATATACTAATAGGTTCAGTTTTCTTTAATTAACTTTTTCCTTTTTCTTTCTGTATTTTTTGCAGTGCTGGAAATCAAACCTAAGACTTCATGCATCCCAGGCAAGTGCCTTACCACTTAACTAATCCCCTATACCTTTTTTAAGGGCAATTTTAGATTCACAGCAAAATTGAGAGGAATGTGCAGAGATTTCTCCTATACGCTATACCTTCCACACATAGCTTCCTCCATTATCATAATAAATAAGTACACTTATTGTAAGTGATGAGCCTATATTGATATATCGTATCACTCAAAGTCCATACTCTCTTGGTGTATAATCTGGATTTAGGCAAATGTATAATGACATGTAATTACCATTATAGTATCATAATCAGAATAGTCTCACTGCCCTAAATATCCCCTGTGTTTTACCTGTTCATCCTTCCCCCACCTCTTAATTTTAGGCAACCACTGATCTTTTTACTGTCTTTAGTAGAAGTTTTGCTTTTTCCAGTATGTTTTTCAATGTTTAAATTATGGAAGTTCCAAGGTATTTGAATGTAGTCATTTAAGATGTTCTTTGTCTTTGTACTCCATCATGGAGTCACACCCACAGCCCAGTTTGTTTTGCTTTTTTGCAGGGCAAACACCCCAGCATTGACTTTTCCATGAATAGATTCTCTGTCAAGAGAATGCCAGGAGAGTCACACTGATTTTTGTTTTTGTTTTTATTCTCTTCATATTTGACATGAGGTGAAAAGGATTTTTTTTTTTTCTCTTACTAGTTAGGGCCAATGTTGGCACATTCTGAAAGCTTGAGTGAGTTAATAGTTTTGTTTTTTTTTTAAATATCAGACAATACTCACTGGCAACTTGCTGCTACTTTGCCAGTGCTTCCCAGTGTTTCATTATAAGGTTTTCTCTGACTGTGAGGTAGGGACAAGGGAATGATCTTTTCAGTGGTTCATTCCATGGCAAAATGGCAGGTGAATTTGTGTCTTGTTTGCACCACATGTAAAGTAGAGAAGATAGCTAAAACTAAGAAAGCTTACTAGCATCTTCCCCAGAAGAGGATTAGTAGAGTAAGCACATGAGGTCTTCTCCATTGGCAGCTAGAAAGTCTGCAGTGATCCTCTCCCAGGTCTGCTTCCTATGTTTTGTTAATGCTGCAAAGTACAGTGCCTATAGATCTAGCTGGAGGAGTGGCTCAAGTGGTAGAACACTTGCCTAATAAGCTTGAGGCCCTGAGTTCCAACCCCAGTATTGCCAAAAAAAAAAAAAAAAAATCAGTGCTATAGCTATCAAGTTTCCTTGTGATAGAGTGTTTCATCCTAAACTAAAAATCTGGAAAAGTTGTGTTATAACAAAGTAGGTAATTTTTCCTAGTGCCATTAGTCTAGAAAAACATGCTATTTGAGACTATAAGCTTATGCTACTGACTCTGCTAACTGATACCATTTTCTGTCATTCTGGTAGCATTGAATTAAGAATTATGGTCATTGTACATAGTAGTTTACTTTTAGGTATCAGATTTTGATAAATACCATTCTTTCTTGCATTTAATAAATACAAAGAGGGAGAAGTAAGCATTCTTAATGCATTGCCTATTTGTAGTATAGTTAATACTCATTCTCCTGGTATGGGCCCAGAGGAATACTTTCTAACAAAATAAAAGTCTCATATTTTGTTACTTTATATTTTTCTATTGTTGATTTCAAATGTATCTTACCTTTTTCTTTAATAGTGGATGAGAGTTCTGAAGATGACTCTTTAACCAGGTAGGAACGTACAGATTTTAAAAAGTCATAGGTTAACCAATTACCGAATGCAGAGAAAAGAAACTAAGATTTGTTGAGTGTTGTACTCTGGGCTGGACACCATATTATGTGCTTAACATATTTTTATTTCTGATAGTGGTCACAAGAGTTTTGCAAAGTATCTGTGCTTTCATAACTTTTTTTTCTTTTTTGTCGGCCCTGGGGCTTCAACTCAGGGCCTACACCTTGAGCCACTCCACCAGACCATTTTAGTGATTTTTTTTTTTTTTTCTGAGGTAAGGGCCCACGAACTATTTGCCTGGGTTGGCTTTCAACTGTGATCCTCCTGATCTCTGCTTCCTGAGTAGCTAGGATTACAGCCATGAGCAACCAGTGCCTAGCTGTATCCTATTTTTTCTTAACTAATTAGGCATCAGTTATTTAGACAAGTTGATTAATTTGCCCATGATCCATCCCATAGTTAGCAGGCAGCTGACTTATGACTTGACTGTCATCCTGCCTGGCCCCCACGTCCATTCTCCTTCTTTTCTGCATAGATTGACAAAGACCTGTACAGCAGTAGAATCAAGATACAGGCTTATATCAGATCGATTCAGAAAGTCTAATATATGTTAACTCTGACTTAGATTTTTCCTGAGAAGTCCAGTTATATTCCTAAAATCTGTCTAGTATTTTTAACAACTGCAGTTATATACCTTGTTTTTATTATTAAAAGTTTTAAGGTAGATCTCACTTAGCTATGGCCATAGGACCTTAGGTGTTGTATAAACAAGATCAGGCAAGTCCTGGAGAAGAACTGTTTAATTGGAAGTGAAGAATATCTATATATTAATCTATAATGAATATCCATGTTATATTAATTATATTTAGCATCCATTTACAGGAGATTTTTAAGTGATTTCTCTACTTGCTGATTTTCCATAAGGTTTCAGGCTACTACTCTGCCTGGTTCTATGAAGTTTTTTCTTTTTTCCGGTCTTTTTTTTTTTTAATGACTGTAATCTTTTTTTTTTTTTCCTTTTTTGGGGGTGCTTTTCCTGATTTTTCTTTTTTTTTCTGTCAGCTAAGTATTCCATATTTTTCTGTAAGTAGAATCAAAAGCATGTATAATTTCAGAATTTTAAGGAGTCTTGTAAACTAATCAAAATACCCTCTAGTACATAAACCTATGTTTAATACCCTACCCAAATTCTTGAAACCTGAAACTGAAAAATATTAAAGCAACTTATCTGGATATAGTAAATGGCAGAAGTGAGATGGGGACTCAGGTGCTTTCATTTGAAGCACCTTATTTCCTTATTTATCGTTATGTAGGTGAGTGGTTTTTTTTTTTCATTTTTCTTTTATTATTCATATGTGCATACAAGGCTTGGTTCATTTCTCCCTAGGTGAGTGTTTTAATAATAGAGTGGGGGAGTGAATCTAGTGAACCCAGTAGTAGAGGGTATAAATGAATTAGCAAGTGAACCCAATAAAGATAAAAATGTAATTAGCAGGGGAAGGGTTTGAAAAGGAACAGCACTGGATTGAGTAAAAATAAAGGTTTTAGAAAAAGAGATCAAAATATTGGAGTTTATAACCAGTTCCATAAAGATAATATAGGAGTTAAGGACATAGGATGTTGAGAGTTATCCAGAAAGGCATGTTAAAAAAAATGGTAGTTCAAGCCCTGTACAAATTGTTGTTGCTTTTTGCTTATTTATTTAATTAGAACTAGCAAATTATAAGGTTTTTGTTGAAAGTTGTTGAAAAGAATTTCAGCCACTAGAAAGTCTCTATAGCAGACAGGAATGTATTTACAGAGGGTAGTTGAGAGCATCTCCAGTACTAGAGAACTGGAAGTACATGGCTCTGTGGCCTACAGCAGTTTCCCTTCACCTCCACCTCTTCTCCTAATTCAGTGTCCTTCCTATGTACAAGCAGGGTAGGAAAAGGTATGATTGCATGGAAAAGTTGTCATGGGTAGTTATTGATTGAGACTCCATTTAACTTGTTTTCTAGGAACAGGGAAAGGAGAGTTTCTCCTCTTGCTATTTGAGCCCACCCTTTTAGGAATCTGCTCCTTTATAAGCTAAAGGTTTAAAGGTCGGAGACTGCCATTGAGCCATGCAGAAGAGAGGGATCTGGGAGTAGAAACACATAGGAAGACATTTATATGGTACTTAAAGAAACAGAGGGACAGCTAGCAGTGTTTTCCCCTTGAGTATCTGAGTGCCTACTAAGACTTCCATGTACTTGCTAATTTATGTAGACTTGAATAAGGCATGACCTATATGGGAAAAAATAATTCAACTTTTATAATTCTTTGAGTTTTAATCTCTCCAGAAAGAGTTTTGCCAATAACAACCTATACATTTGTTCTTTGACTTTTGTACACTTAACTTTCAAATAATTTAAATGTTTCAGAGGACTCCTTGTACTATTTTAGGGTAAAGGGTAAACAGTTGGGTCTTCTTAATAGATGGTTTCCATTCTGAAGAACCAAGACTGCTATTTTTCAGTTACCCAGTTTAGTCTTTGAACAATGATAGACAATATAGAGAGTAGATAGCACTTTCTACCTTGTTTTAGGCTCTCAGGTTTGTTTCAGTTGTTACCCATTAATTAGGTTTTCAGTGTAGGCAATTTGTGAAGCCAAATTATTTGCAGTCACTAATTGTAGGGCTGATAGAGTGACTCAAGTGGGAAACTGCCTGCTTAGCAATTGTAAGTACTGAGTTCAATCCCCAGTACTGCAAAAAATAAGAGTGAGTCTTTATTGAAAAGGTCATAGAGTAGAAGTGTAGGCAGAAAGCAGAAAGAGGTAACTAAAAGCTTCTTAAAAAAATAGGTCTAATTTTAATTATATCAATTAAGAAACATCACTTAACATACAGATAGCTGACCTTTCATTAGATTTCTTTAAGAATTCAACCCACCCATATTTGTTGCATGTTTTTTGCTCTGAAGGCTTTCTAACACACCTGGTCCTGGTGATCCCTGGCCTACATCAGATGAAGATGACTATAATTTTGATACCAAGGTAAAATGCTCTTTTGTCAAAGTAATTTTCTTACTCTTAAAATTTAGTGATGGTCTACCACATGAAGTATTAGTTGGAAAAAAAATTTGAACAGCTATGACTAGTTGAATTTTGTTTTACTTTGGTAAATACCAAATACTTTGAGGTATTTGAGTGGGTGCTGAAAAAGAGAATGGGCTGGAAAATACATAGTGACAAGAAAAGTGTATCAAAGCCTTCCTACAACAGAAAATATGAAATTTGGTCAATTATTTGGGTAATAATAATTACAGTGATTTAAATCATACTAACATGACTTTTATGATGCTCATGTCTAAAGTAATCCTTAGCATATCCAGTTAATTATTGCAATAATCATGGAATCTCCCTGGTGCCCCTCATTTGAAAACTATACAATACATAGCGTGTACTTTTTTTTTTCTTTCCTGGACACTTTATTTTGGTATCAAGTTTTTAGGAGAGACTTTTCTCTATTTCTATTCTTGATTCTATATTTAAACTAACATAAGAGCTGGTGAAGTGGCTCAAGTGGTAGAGTGCCTACCTAGCAAGTGTGAGGTCATGAGTTCAAGCTCCAGTACCACAAAAATAAATAAAAAAATAAAAATAGACTAACATAATATTAGAAATTGTAGAAATATATAAATTTAAAATTTGTTTCTCAAAATTTGTATTACAAAGGTATTACACTGTTTTCTAAGTCATTCCATTAATAGTATATTTACAACTTTTCATCTAATTGAAGAATACATCTTTTGGCCAAAGTAATAAATTCTAAAGCCAGAGGCTAACAATAACTGTGTGGTAAAACTTTAATTTCAGAAATTTTTGAATTTTAGTTTTTTAAAAATATCCACTCAAATCCTTATATCACATTGTAACATTTAAAATGTTAAACATAGTTATTTAAATATTCATTTTAAAGCTCCTGCATCACTATGAGCTAGTGAGGACACAAGTATGTGTGTGTCCTGGAGCACCTAGAATAAGGCTTTGTATGTAAGAAGCATTTTAATATTTTAATATGAGTAAATGGTTTTCTGTGTAATGGAGTGCTAAAAATAATATAATATGCAAGATGTGTCTTAATACTAAAGTCTATTGAATTTCTAAAACTATGGTTTAAATTTATATTTCCATTTACTGTTTAGGATGTATAAGATCAGATGAGTTATATTGTGGAAATATCATATATAAAAATGAAACAAATTAGAGAAATGTCTTAAATAGAAAAGAAGGTACCAGTATATTTCTAGTTTCCTAAACTTAGATTATGATTTAGATTAAAATTTCTTGAACTTATTTTAAGACCCACCCAGGGTTATATTAAAGACAAATTTTTTTGTCCAAGTGAGAAATTGATGGAACATTGATTTCTCCATAGCTGTAAGGTTACAACTTTAAGGTAGTGGTAGATAGCCATGTATAACTAGTTGAATTACTTATTTTATAATAGAAAATTAAACTATATAGTATACCTTCATGGAAAATTAAACTATATAGTATAGTTTCATGGAAAATTAAGCTATTACAGAAAAGTAATTATAGCATATTGTTAAGGATATTCTATGAATAAAAGTCTCATATTTTTTTATAAACCTTATACTTAATGTTTTTTTCTCTTCCTTTGGCTTAAACTGATTGCTCATCTCTCTCTCTCTCTCTCTCTCTCTCTCTCTCTATGTCTTCCTCCCTCTCCTGTTCACCTCCCTCTCCCCCTTTCTTTCTCTTTCTCTTCCCTCCTTTTTAAAATTATTTACCTCTAGCCTAAATTTTTCATTTCACAAAACATTTTTTTCAGTGTCTCTTCTTTCACTCCCCATTGTTGGCATATTTAGTTACATCTTTCTGTTTAGTATCTGTTTGCAGGTTTCATACATCTATCATTGCCTCACAAGATTTATTCTTGGTTTTTATTCCTTCCCTCTTGGAAGGAGCTCAAGTTATGTAATCATTTGCCTTTTATTTTTTGACACACAGAATAGAAGCAAATTACATTTTTTTAAATTGCAACCCATCTTAATAAAGTACAACTAACAAATAAGATCTCACATTTTTCTCCCCTAGAGGTATTTCATGTGAATATAAATGCATTTTATTTTATTTGAAATGCATTCAAAATATAGCAAGTAATTAAATTTCTTAAAGTACTCTAAAACTACAGTAGCAAGTAATTAAATTTCTTAAAGTACTCTAAACTACAGTGCAATAAATTTCTACTCTGGGTTACTTTAGTTAAGAAATTAATTAACAAATAGTATAATGTTTGTGTAATAAACAACCAAGGATAAAGAGAGTAACATTTGGAGGTATCTCTGTCATCTCTGATAATCACTCCATAAGAATACTTAAGTTAGTAAATGGCAGTATTGGTGTTTGAATCTGCATCTGAATTACTCAGAAACCTATGCCCATTGTGTTCAGTCATATAGTAATGTTGACTATTATAATTATTTTATCAAATTTGATAACTGTTTCTTAAAGCTATTATTTCTTTTTTCTAGAATGTCCCAAAAGTAAACTTAGAGCTATGGACTGCTGCACAGCAATCCAGGAAAAATCGTAAGCTATTTGAAGGCTACTTATTGTGCTATTCATTGATTGAAATTATAGATATTTTCATATTCTCTTGTTTTAATTGTCACAGAAGCAAGGTATGACTTTGGGAAAGTAGAAAACAGAACCTTGTTTGACAACAGTAACTCAGATAGTCAAAATGAAGATGTGGTTGAAATCCTTCCTAAAACATCAATCAAAGTCCAGAGCTTTTCTCTTCCTTCCTTTTCATCACCTAAACCAATGGTAAGGTGTGTTTGCTTGTTTGTTTTTCCATGATCTATCATATACTATCTCCCCAATCTTCAAGATTATAAGATATACAAGGCCATAAGATTATATTGGAAAACAAGTATACAGGAAAGATATGTTCATGGTTGAGATTTATGAAAGTTAACGAGAGTAAACAATTCTTGGGTATGCTATAATGGAAGGAAATTACTAGAAAGCAACCAAAAAAACCCAGCTAGATATAGGTAGAGGAATGGAAAGAATAAGTAGGAAAAGATAAATTAGGAAAATAAAACAGAAATAGCAGAGTTAAATTATACCAGGTACTCTATATTATAAAATATGACAGAAATTGCATTCTTCTGAGTGACTTATAATGATTGTAATGAAGAACTGAAAGAAAATTTAATCATTTGTTTTCAATTAAATAGTGATGTCTTACATTTAATCTAGCCAAACCTGTGTTCATAGATAATGCAAAGAGAAATCTGCTTTAGGCCTTAACCACATTTTTTTTTCTTTTTTAACTTATTGTCTGAATGTTCTAATTTGTGTACCTTGTCTTCAAACACTGATAATTGTGTCTTCTACTTGATCCAGTCTATTGACAAGGCTTTCAACTGAGTTTTTTATATTAACCCTTTTTTCTTTTTGGCAGTACTAGAGTTTGAACTCAGGACTTTGTGCTTTCTAGGCAGGTGCTCACCTGAAGGAGAGCCACACCTCCAGCCCTTTATTTGACTTCTTGAGCTTTTCATTTCCAAAATTTCAATTTGATTATTTTCAGGAGTTCAAATGTCTTACTGAATTCCTCTTTCATATCCTGCATTGTATTCCTTGTTTCATTCAATTATTTATTTCTATTCAGTTGGAATTCATTCAGTTGTTTGTGTCCTCTTTAATTTCATTGCTCATTCTTATAATCATTCTTTAGAATTCATTATGTAAGATTCATCCTCACAAATTGTAGAATTGTTGACTGTTGGAGGAGTCATGTTGCATTACCAAATTTATTATGAATTAATATTTGACTCATTTTCATGGTTTCTAACTTACTGCTTGGTATATGCTTAACTTATCTTCCTGTTTGAATATAATCTTGATAACTGGTCTAGATCTTTTTGAAGCTAAAGGGAAATTTATAAATAAGCATTTTATTTAATCTTATCATTAATTGAAATTTCCAGTTATGTAAATGGGAGGTTTTATTTGTTTGTTTGTTTTTTCCTTGGAACTTTCTTATGCTACTTAAGAGGGCCTCATACATGCTAGGCAAGCATTGTATCACTGAGCTACATCTTTGTCCCTTAACAAAAATTTTAATATGTACCTATTAGATGAAAAAATAAATTTTATACTGCAACATTCCTTTTTTAAATGTTTTTATTAGTATATATTAGTTGTATACGAAATTTCATTATGACATTTCCATATATTGTACAGTACACCCTGGTTTGGTTCATCCACTCCAGAATACTCCTTCTTCCTCTTCCCCCTTCATAAAATGACTTCACAAGTTTCACTGTTCCATATTCATACTTATACAAAAATACATCAACCATATTCACCCCCCCTTTACCCTCTTCACTTACCCTTCCCTTTCAACTGTAACCTTCCCCTTATCCTTTATTGTTTAAGTGTCTGTTCATTGCTTAATAATAATTGCCTGTAAAATATAGCACTTAAAATCAGTCTAGCCTGCTGTATTACTCTTCCTTACCATTTTCCCCCTACCTGGTGTTGTTCCAACAGTTTTCAGTGCATTCCGTTGTGTCTTATTTCTACACAGATGCAATGTATTTCAATATTAATTCATTTTCTGCCATTCTCTTCTTCTTTCCCTTCTCCCCTAATCTCCTCTAGTAGTTCTTCCCTTCTTGGAAATATGTGTAGGTGAGAATGCTTATATTTGTATTTGGGTCTGTCTTCCACATATGAGAGAAAACATGCTTCCTTTGTCTTTCTAGACCTGTCTTACTTCACTTAACATAATGTTCTCCAGTTCTATCCATTTACCTGGAAGTGACAAAATTTCATTCTTCTTTATGCCTCAATAATATGTCATTGTTTATATATTACACACACACACACACACACACACACACATATATCATATATTCCATTCATTAGTTGTAGGACATCTAGGTTGTTTCCATAGCATGGCTATTGTGAAAAATGCTACAATAAAATGGGTGGGCAAGTGGTTCTATTATATCCTGACCTACATTCCTTCAGGTATATGCCCAGGAGTGGTATTGTTGGATCATATGGTAGTTCTGTCTCTGGTTTTTTGAGGAATCTCCATATTGCATTCCATAGTAGTTGTATTAACTTACATTCCCACTGACAGTGTGTGAGGGTTGCTTCCCCCACCCCCACTGCCCTTCATACTCACCAACATTTGTTGTTTGTGTTCTTGAAGATTGATTGCCATTCTGACTGGAGTCAGGTGGAGTCTTAATATGGTTTCGAGTTGCATTTCCTTTACAGTCAGGGCTGTTGAGCATTTCTTCATGTGTTTTTTTGGCCATATGTACTTCTTCCTTGAAAGATTTTAATTCCTTTGCCCATCTATTCATTGATTCTTTGGAAGTTTAGTTTTTTGAATTCCCTGTAAATCCTGGCTATTAAGCCCTTGTCAGATATATAGCTGATAAAGATTTTCTCCCATTCTGTGGGCTGCCTCTTCTGTCTGGTGACCATTTCCTTTGCTTTTCAGAGCTTTTTAGTTTTATGTCCCATTTATCAATTTTTTTCTCTTAATTGCTGAGCTATTGCAGTTCTATTTAGAAAGTAATTGTCTATGCCTGTGCTTTCCCTGTTATTTTCTGCAGTAGTTCCAAAGTATCAGACCTTACATTATTTTTGGGCTCCTTTGTCAAAAATTAGATGAGAATAGCTCTGAGTTTTCTATTGGCATATCGGGGTTTTCTATTCTGTTCCATTACTCTTCGTGGCTGTTTTTTGTGCCAGTGCTATGAATCTGTTGTATAGTTTGAAGTCAGGTATTGTGAAACCTCCAGCATCACTTTTTTTTTTTTGTTGTTGGTGGTTTTAGGATTTGAACTCAGGGCCTTGTGCTTGCTAGGCGGGCACTATTACAGCTTAAGCCACTCTGCCAGCCCTTTTTTTGTGATGGTTTTACCCAGGGCTGGCTTTGAACCTCAATTCTTCTGATCTCTGCCTCCCGAGTAGCTAGGATTATGAGTGCCTGGCCTAGCATTGCTCTTTTTGCTCAGTATTGCCTTGGCTATTCATGGTCTTTTGTGCTTCCATGTGTACTTTAGGTTTGATTTTTCAATCTCTGTGAGAAATGTTACCTGATTTTGATGGGGACTGCATTGAACACATAGATTTGTTTTGATAGTATGGCCATTTTCACAATATGAATTCTGCCAATCCATGAGTATAAGAGATTTTTTCATCTTCTAATATCTTCAGTTTTTTTCTTTGGTGATTTGTAGTTTTTGTCGTAAAGGTCTTACACTTCCTTTGTTATATTTATTCCTAGGTGCTTTTTTTTTTTGGCTATTGTAAATGGTACTATTTTCCTATATTCTTTTTAGTCTGCTCATTGTTGTTGTATAGGAAAGCTACTAATTTTTTTATATTGACTTTTGTCTCCTGCCACTTTGCTGAAAGTGTTTATAATGTCTAGGGAGTTTTGTGGTGGACTTTTTAGGGTCTTTTGCAGCAAATAGAAATAATTTTACTTTTTCCTTCCCTGTTTGAATTCCTTTTATTTCTTCTTCCTGTCTTATTGCTTTTGGTTAGGAAGTCCAAAACTATGTTGAGTTACAGTGGCGAAAATGAACATTCCTGACTTTACAGGAAATACTTTCAGTTTTTCCCCATTTAGTATGGTATTGTCATATATAGCCTAAGTTTGTCATATATAGCCTTTATTATTATTATATTGAGGCACATTGTGATACCAAATTCTGATTGAATTTGGTTTGCTATTATTGAGAATTTTTGTTATCTATGCTTGTTAAAGTGATTGTCCTATTCCTTTTTTTGTTGCGTCCTTGTCTGGTTTGGAATGAGTGTAATACTGGTTTCATAGAATGTATTCTGCTACGTTCTTAAAGAGAAAAAATTATAGAATTGATTTCTTGAGCCATTCTGATTTATCCTTTCCTGATAATATCTGCTTGTAATGGTTACAAATGTGCATACATCAAATGAGTGATTTTTTTTTTTTTCTAAAAGAAGCTGCCTGCTAACATAGAATCATAAGTAAGGAAAGATTGCAACAGATTTTACAAAATTAGATCTGGAGGATGTTTTTACTTTATTACATTTAGTATTTATAGTATTTTAGTTATAGTGATATTTTGTTGTTGTTGTTGCTCAGATTTTTTGTTGTTGTTCTTGTTGTTTGTTTGGATTTTTATATGGTGCTGTGTGTCAAACTCCCAGCCTAACACATATAGGCAAGTTTTCTAATGCTCTTCTACTCTCTAGTTCCCAATATTCACAGTTGTTAAATCCTTCAAGTAAATTCTTTCAACTTTAGAACTAATGAATCCTTTTGATTAAATTTTTTGTCCTTTCTCTTTTCATGTGAGTATTTAGTCTTGGTTGACAATATTTAAATTGTTTGAAGACACTTTTTTGTGTGTATGGTGCTAGAATTCAACCCAAGGCCTTGTGTATGTTAAGCAAGTTCTTTGCCACTGAGGTACATTCCTAGCCCTGAAGACTTGCATATATTCAAATTGGATAATGATACTTTTAGTATTTGTGTATGTATATGTATATATAAATATGTAATTATATATATTCACATTATATGTATTAGATCCTTTCTCTGCTTTTTTTTTTGGCCTGAATTTTGGCCTGAACTTACCTGAACTTAAGTTGCATTCTAGACAAGCACCCTACTACTTGAACCACATCCAAACCTTTTGCTTTTATTTTGTTTTTCAGGTAGAGTCTCACACTTTTGCCCAGGTGGGCTTCAGATCTTGATCTTCCTAGCTCTGCCTCCCAAGTATCTGGAATTGGTGTGAGCCATCAAATTCCTTTCTCTGCTTTTTTTTTGGGCCTGAATTTTTGGCCTGAACTTACCTGAACTTAAAGTTGCATTCTAGACAAGCACCCTACTACTTGAACGCACATCCAAACCTTTTGCTTTTATTTTGTTTTTCAGGTAGAGTCTCACACTTTTGCCCAGGTGGGCTTCAGATCTTGATCTTCCTAGCTCTGCCTCCCAAGTATCTGGAATTGGTGTGAGCCATCAAATCTGGCTCTTTTTTTTTTTTTTGAAATTGTATCTCGCTGACTTTTCACAGGCTGGCTTTAATCACCACCCTTCTGTCTCTGCATCCTAGATAGCTTAGATTATAGCTTTCTCCAATTTTTAACCATCATTCCATACAGTATAAATAGAATACCAGACATATTATAAATTTTGAAAAGAGTTTTACATTTATTACATCATCCTGGTACTTAAAAATTCCTAATTCTGTAATTATGTGCACATTTCTTTTCTCCAATTTAAAACTTTCATTCTGTTTTGTTTTGGTTTTTTTTTTGAGATTGGGTGTCATATTGTTTCCCAAGCTGGCCTCAAACTCCTGTTCTTGCTTGAGCTTCCTAAGTATCTGGGATGGGATTACAGGTATACCTCCCACGAAGCCTGGCTTACAATTTAAAACTTGAACAATTTACTTTTTAAAAATTATCTTCTTGCAGCATCTTAAATTGGTATTTTAGAAGGGTTGGGAATATAGCCCTGTGATAGAGCACTTGCGTGCCATGCACAAGGCCCTGAGTTTGATTCCTAGCACCTAAAAAACTAAAATTGGTATTTTAGAATTAAATCTTTTCATTAAAATTTAAAATGTATATTAGCATAACATCCTATAGTTATTTGTATATGTTAGTAAGAGTACTTTTTTTATCCTTGAAACAAATATTGACATATATTATCAAAAATTGGATCCTTTTATTTTTCTCTCCTTGTTTCAGCTTAAAAAATTCAGAGTTCTTTCTAGGTTTACATTGTATGATTATATTAGTTTGGTGTATTTTAAGCTTCTATGCTTTTCTTAAGCAAGATTGTCTACTACTCCTAATACACTTATTTCTCCTAATATATTTCTGTATTCTGACCCTCAAATTTGACATGTCTCCCAAACTGAAGGCATTGACCTTGACCCTTTCCTGACTCTCTTATCCATTTTCCATATCAAAGTAAACACCTCCAATAAATAGCACTGACAAACTAGCTAGACTCTAGCCATCCTCAATCACCAACCAAGTCATTCACCAAATTCTGAATTTTGTATCTGCTTACTGTTTTTTGTATTTTACTACCAGGATTCATTTTCTCACCCATTATTTTGAAATTATCTTTTCTATTCATCTCCCATCATTATGTTCATCTATCTTTACATTGCAACCAGTGTAACCTTTCTAAAGTATATTTGTGATGCTGGAAGTCATCTGTTTGTTCAATGAATCGACATTCTTGGATGAAGCTTGTCTTCTATGGTTTGGCCCTAATCCTCCTGTTTTATCTATCCATTCTATTCTTTGTAACTGTATTCCTGTTTTAACACCTTCCTTTGGCACCGCATCTTTGCTTTATTATTTAATGCCTCATTCTTTAGCTCATGCTAACCTGTCAAAAATGCCCTCACACCCTCCCTTTGGACTTTCTGTGTCTTTTCAAAATATGATCCTATGTTTGTAGCATTTCCTGACCTTGCAAAGTAGAAACAACTGTTTTCTCTTTTGTGACCTTAACTATATTCATTTCAGCTATAGAACTAAATGAATTATACTTTTCTGGTCTTATTTTTGTATATCTTTACTTCTGCTTGAATATGGAGCATAATCTGTCTTCTGCTTTTAGTTTCTAGTGTAGTACCTATGATTTCATAGATACATTAAAGGTTTGATGTCTACTGACAAATTGAGTGTGTGAATAGGGGAGCAAGAGAATAAATAAGCTTTCTGAAATTTAATTTATTTTTATTTTTTACAGAAAGGAGCAACTGAGTCAACAGTTGGAAAAGAAGAGAATGATAATATTGAAAGTGTTTCACAAGAGCAACCAAATAATGATAGTTTGGCTTATGTTGATGGAGGGCACAAAAGTAATAAAATTGGTAAATTAAAGTTTATAGATAACCAAAAAAATGATACCCATTGCTTTTAAACATTTTTCTTTTGTTATTTTTCTCCTAAGTGTCAGTTTCTTAAACAGCTTCAGCACTTTGAAATTCTTTTTTGCTACTTTTATTGTAATTTCATAAATGGAGTAGACTTATACATGTCTGTAGAATCTACATTAATAAATGTTCTAATTGATATATGTGTAACTACATTTTATAGAAATGATGTCTGCATTAGGATTAGGAGAAGATGAAGATGAAGAATCACCTTGGGATTCTGAGGTATTATCTATTATTTTTTAAATAAACTTTGAGTGATGTTAAAACAAAAGGGGTTGGGTTGGTTTTTTTTCTCATCTCTACATATGCTTTTACTGAATTATTTTCTCTTTTCAAACTACAATTGTACTAAGTGTATTAATGCTGCATAAAACAATTCTGCTGATTTATATGATTCGTAGTGGCACGAAAGGAAAAGCCTAAAGTTTAATAGTCAGAAGGAATCAGCTTAGGTGCTGAAGTAAAGTTTAATCTTAAAACTAAATAATTATTCCAAGTGTCTAAAGTCCCTTAAGAGATTCGGAGAGAAAGTTAGGACATTTTTTTAACAGCTTGGAACTTGAAAAGATAATGAGTGGGACTGGAAGATATTATATTTGGATGACAAGAATAAAGAAAATTTCAGGGGAAGAAAAAGAATAAAGAACACTAAATTTGTAGAGTTATATTGTTTTTACTTCATGGTGTTTTAATAAGGCATTTTCAAAAATGAAATGCACTAGGGGTGGCAGAAGTGACTCAAGCAGTGGAGCACCTGCCCAATAAGCACAAGGCCTTCAGTTTAAACCTTACTACCATCAAAGAAAAAGAAAAGTAAATAATAAAATGCACTGACTTAAATGCCAACTCTGCTCTTTATAGTAACATAACTATCAATCATGACGACCTATTTCAAGGTGACCACTCTGGAAAGAGGTGGGAAAGACCTGGTCTCGTAGGTATTAACAGCTGGTACACAGTGGTACCAACATAATAGTTGAAGTACCTGTGGTTCTTGGGAAGAATTATTTAGCCCTTTTGAATGTTAGTGATCTTAATGTGCCATAAACATAGAGTAATATTTACCTCCTAGGTAACAGTAATAGACAAATGTAAGAAATGTAAAAACTCTTTGTAAACTTTAAAATGTGTATGGTATATATGACAAAAGGATCCCAGTAGTATTCAATGACTTAATAAATTATTATTTTAAACCTGAGGACTGTAAAATGGCAGTAGTTTATCAAGAAAAGAATGGAAAAGTTGGGAGACACTATAGATTTCTAATTCGAGAATGCTAAGTTTCTGTGAGCTATTAATGAAGATGTCCTACAGGAATATAGTGATCAAGGCCTTCCTGATGAGATTTTAATATTTTAACCTTGAGTAAAATTCTGTTATTATTATCTGCTAGGAGCAAGTCAACCAGATGAGAGCTTATGCAATAGTGGCAGAACAGGAAAATGCACAAACACTTAGAAGTCACGGTAACAGCTTCATGTAAAGAAAACAGAAGATGTTGGCTTAGAGAACATTGAGGGACTTTGTATTTAGGATGGGGATGGGAGTGGAATTGTTAAGAGATTTTTCTGAGGGTGACATATAAGCTGCCAACTAAAGGATGTGAAAGTCTAGGAGAACATTCTGGACAGAGAGAGCAGTGGATCACATCTGTTCATCATTAAATTTTAACAGCCTGGAATGAGCCAGAAGCAGAGAGTGGGTTAACCATCATCATAATCATTTTCATTGTTAGAATATATAGAAAAGAAAATGTACAAATAAGTACCTATCACATTTTGGACACTTTATAAATAAAAGTTCACATTCTTCCCTTCTTACTAAGGCTTGCTAAAGTTTTTAAATGATCTTTCTTAATTGAGAAAGAGTTGTATGCTATATCTAATATACATAAAGAAAAGTTCTTTCATACTGCTTTGTCATTTTATTCAACTATTTTTGTTATCACTAAGAATTTTGCCAAAAAATAATTAGATTTTTCAAAGCCCTTGTTTGACTAAATGAAGCAGTTTCTACAAGGTTGTATTTATACTTATATAACATACTCCAAAGTTATCATGACAAGTATCTTATTTTAACACTAAAACAATTTATGTCATTAAATGTATTTTAAATGTTTAATGGTGTACTTACAAGAATTTAATGTATCTTTTTAATATATCTACTTTTTCATGGGGAATGCAAAGCACAGTTGTTCTAAAGTTAGTTCCCTATAGAAATATGAGCGTAAGTTGGTATTTTGTCTATGAATATGTTTCCTCGTGGCTTTTGTGCTCCGTTTACAATCAATAACCATGTAAAGATCAAAGATAAGTTTGATTTAAAGTATACATATGTGAGGTTCTCTACTGAAACATTTCAGTTTCCAATTCTTGCTTCTTTATTTTTTATATCTAAATGCTTTGAAAGAAGATATTCAGATATCTTCTCAGAAAATGATTAGGAAATCTTTTAAAAATTTTTATTTTTGGATTAGCATGCACTAGTAATAGAAGGGGACTTCATTATGATAATTTCATACATGTGTGCAGATTAGCTTGAATAAGTTCACCCCTCCATTGTATTTCTATTTCCCCTCCCTTGATTAGGAAATCTTTATGTCTCATTATGGATATTAATTTTTACAGAGTATCTGTGAGAGTCTTCCACTGAAATGTGTTGGTCATTTATCTGGGATTGCAGATCAGAGAGGAAAAAATGTAGCAAATGGACAAACAGAAGGTAAGAACTATATTTTATTTTAAAATGTCATTTGACCAAGTGTTTATTTAAAACTTGAGCATTGATATATTCTAATAATTGCCAAAGAAAATTACCAATTAAATTCATAGTTAGGAAAAACAAAAGTGAAATGGCAATAAGTTTTAGCAACATGATAAATTGAGTGTCACTAAAGGAGCCAAATTATTAGTTCTATTTCAGGTTATTCTAAGACCTGGGGAAAGTTAGGAAATAAGGAAGAAGAAAAGGTAAGAAGGAATAAATAATAAGAAAAGTACAGAGTACAGAACATAATTGCAGGAAAAAGAAGAAGGTATTTATAGGATGAGCAAGGTTTTAGAAATGTGGGAAGACTATAAGTGAGCTTCCAATACCAAAACTTGTTGAAGAAGTAAAATAAAACTTTCCCATTCTTCTTCATTGTTGGAAAGGAATCTGGGATTGAAGTACCTGATCATACAGAACTATATTTACCATAAATAGATGTAAACATATGCTCACCCATACATAAATATAAATTAATGTCTTATAAAATGTTGCTATGTTATAGAATGGTTTCACATGGACCAAAACAAGAAACATGGAAGGAAGGAAGAGTAGGATTAGTTATGGAAAGATCAGGAAAACAGCCTGACAAAAAATCCATTAGAAAGTTTATGCAGTTTCAGTTTGGGAGAAGGGCATTGCAGGAAGGAACTTGAGGTTAGATTCTAAAGATAAGATAAACCAAAGGAATTTGGAAGAAGACTCATTAGAGCCCAGAGCTTCTCAAACTTTAATGAATCACCTGCTGGAGACAATGTAAAATGAACATTCTGATTCTACAGGTCTGGGTTTCTGCATTTCTAAATTCTCAGGTGATACCAGTGCTTCCGTTCCTAAGACAACACTCAGAGTAGACAGTATAGACTTCCCTTTAGAGAAATATGGACAAAGGACCATTGGACAATAGTTCAAGACATAATAGGATCAAAGGAAACCATAAATTTTGCTTTGATTTATGAGTATGTTTCTAATTAGAGGGAAAAGAACAAAGACATGAAGAGATAGATATTATAATTCTAAGATACTACTGCCAAATATTGAGGAAAGAAGTGGTGAAAATAATCCATCATAAGAATGTAAAATGGAAATCAGATGTACACAGATCTAGAGATTACTTTTGAAAAGAGGGATTGTTTCAGGGAAAGGAGGAAGGAAAAATGCTAACTAAGCAATTCTGGAGTTAGTGATGAGGAAACATGAGAGCAATCACTTCAGATGGCTTCAGTATACTTATATACAAGCCAAAGATTAGATTATTGCTGCTCCAGAGATTATTGGGAACAGGGGTGCTAGAATTAAGGTAAACTATAGCCACTCATTTGTCCTCTCTGTAATCAGGCATAAAAGATGTATGTTGTTGTTAATGTTCAGATTAGATTAATTTGAATATAGAAAGAAATCTTGACTATTTTTTAAGATAGGTAATTTTTCAATAAGGTAGTTTCATAAAAATTCTTTAAAAACTAGCATGGTATACCAAAGTAAACTAATTTTGAAAACAAGAGACATTATAGAATCTATTACCTGACTACAAAAATTGTTTATTTTAGTAAATATTGATTTTAAAATATAAAATATTATTACCCATAATTCTATTCATATTTTGTTTTTTGATAACCATATTTTAATATTGAAAGTTTATTATACGTTATTTTTAGATGTGGTTTATATACCTTCTTTCATGAGTGGATCAAGAAACTTTAAGATGGCTAAACTAGAGGATTCAAGAAATGTAGGCATACCAGTAGCCCACATGGGTATGGAAAAAAAATGAATTTTTTGTTAGCTATTATTCTACAAGTGTATATCTAAGCTACAAGTATAATCTAAACTAAACGTTAGAAATTTTTCTTTGATGAGAAATGAATTATGTATTCCACTAAACTGTTACAATTTGTTCTTCCTAAATTACAGGACACATTGAAGAACATGATAAACACTTGTAGTATAATGATATAAATGATTCTGATGTGTTACATTAAAGATATATGCTGTTACATTCTACCATCAATTTTGACATTTATCCTCTCAAGGTCATGATTTACTCCTCTGATTAGAGGTCACTTTTCTTTCCATGCATCATGTTCATGTTCGTAAATGTGCACTTTTCTATTTTAGTTATGATCATTGGAAATATCTCACTTTTTGAAATATTAACTGCATGTTTTATTAAGCCTGTATTCTTATCTTTTTCTTCAGTATTGCTGTACTAACCAGGAAAGAAAAATATATCTAAAGTAATTATTTCTAAAGCTAAATACTAACTGTGCATCTCTGCATGAATATGTACTTGACTTTGACATATTTACATAAATTATGTGCCCCTTTTTGCCTTTTAGAGTCTCTTGAGAAACATCCTGTCTGGAAGGTAATACTTTTATCTTCATCTTGAATCATTAACTACATATTACATGAAATATGTCTTTATTAAGTGTCTTATTTCAAAACCTAGCCTACCATTGAAATGAAAGATTCTGTTCTGAATAAAGCAGAGGGAGTGAAGGATGTACAAACATTCAAATCAGGTAAATTTTGCAATATTCTTGAAAGAAGTACATTAAAATAATTAAAATGTGCATAGTCTTCTCATTACTAATTTTTTTCCCCAAAATTTAATAGAAAGATTTGACATAAATGATGCAAAGGTCATTGTTGGTATCCAATGTTTGGAAAAACAAAAAGGTTCCTGCAAGATTTTTAAAATGTAAGGTCTAACTCAGATATTCCCAGTTTGGAACTCCTTTACTTCTTAGGAATTGACAAAGGTTAATTAAGAGACAAGATTTTTCCAAAGTTTAAAAGTGCTTATTGAAGAGCTGGGCACAGTGGTGCATTTCTGTACTTGCAGCTACTAAGGAGACTGTGCCAACAGGTTTGCTTTAGCCCAGGAGTTTGGGTCAAGCCTAAGCAACATAGTAAGATCCAGTCCCTTACAGAAAAGATGCTTATTGGTATTCTAATGTTTACCTAGATTAAAACTTTACTTTGACATAACATGTCAATTATGTTTTAAATTTAATTATTTCACTTTAGTGTTGCAATACTGATGATCTTAAGCCAATTAGGTGTTCTGATTAGCACAGCATGTGTGGGGGTGTGTGTATGTGTGCTGTCTACCATCTTTGATTGTTAAAAATGGGAAAAGTAAGTAATCATTCTTTAATGACTCATAGAAACAGTTCTTCAAAACAGTGATTCTGAAATGTTTTGGCTTTAGGGCCCTTTTATATTATTACAGAGTCTAAAGAGCTTTTGTTTAAGTACATTGTGTGTATCAATATTTACTATCTTACAAATTAAATAAAAAGATATAAAATATAAGTACTCACAGTCATTCAGTCAAAAGCCATTAGAGCTATGAATCTATCACTAGAATTATGACATGACACATCACATCTCTGAAAAATTCCACTGTGTACTTAAAAGAGAATGAAAGTGAAAATGATAACATTTAGTATTATTTGACCTGTTGGACTCTTGAACAGATTTTGAACTCCAGGTTTTCTCAGATAACAGTTTAGAACTACTCCTTTAAGCCACATATGAGGTTCATGGATAACAAATGATAAAGGAACCCTTAATGACAAAATGGCTTTTAAAATTTCACTATTGGGATTGGTGTGGTAGATCACTTCTGTAATCCCAGCTACTCAGGAGATAAAGATTGAGAGAACTGTGGTTCAAGGCCAGCCCAGGCAAAAAATGTTAGCCAGACTCCCATCTCAACCTATAAACTGGGAAAAGAAAAGATGAATATTGGAGCTGTGTTTCTATTAGAGAATTATACTCTCCATGACCTGTGTGAATCACAGCAAACAAAAAACAAAGAGCATAAAGAAGGAGATAAGGAAGCATAGAGAGTTCTGTGCTGTAGTACTTCTGCATGGTTTCATACTTCTGTAGTTCCAAGTTTTTAAAATCATTTTGTGGCGAAACTTTCTCTGTTTAACTCCCCTCGTGTAACCTACAACCAAACAGAATACCTTTAAACAGAACACTTGTATTCCCTTTTTTTGTTTTGGCAGCACTGGGGCTTGAGCTCTTTTGTTTAGGCTAATATTTAGCATATACTTTTCAGTGAGTGCCAGGACACTTAGAATTTGGGTACTAAATGGGAAGATGAGATAGAGATGTAAGGATTGCCTAGTCAGATATAACATGGTTTCCTCGCTTTATTCACAAGTATTAGTTATAACTGTGTGTAGTGTAACTATAAAAAGCACCTTCCAAACCCAATTTCTTACAATTTCTATAACTATATACAATTGACTTTCCCATTATTAATGAGAATCATTGAGAATTTTGCTGTTTGGCATCTTCTCAGCTGTGTCCACATAGTCTTTCGCTCTTTGCTTTAATGAGTAATAATAGATCACAAGAAAAATTGGTTTTAAGGAATTCTGTATCATTTAAAAATAATACATATGAAAATTTACCTAGGCACAGGGGCATATTCCTATAGTTAGGAGCCTGAGGTAGGAAGATCACTTGAGCCCAAAAGTTCAAGTAGTCTGAGCAACATAACAAGACAACACCAAGCCTATTGATTAACTTTGTCTAATGTGTGTTCTACTTTATTTACCAGTTAACTCTACCCCATATGATCAGGTCTATAGTAATAAATCATACAATATGATATTATATATTTTTAATTTTTCCTTACATGCAGAATTCACATTGTATCTTTCAGAAAATTATCAGTTGTCTCCTGGAGTAATGAGCACAATATATAAATCCAGTTACTTACCCATACCTTTTTTGCTCTTATTTCTTTTTTTCTTCTTTTTAACCCCTGATGATTTAACTTATGCATGCTAAGCACACGATGTGCCACTGAGCTGCACTTCCAGCTCTATCAAGTTTTTTTATGAGTTTGGTAGTTGGAGAAGTAGGGCATTTAAGACAAAATGCCTACATGAGTTCCCTCAATATAGGAAAACATGAAACAAAAACTTACAAATACAAGGAACTTAAACAAGAGTAATTTATTTCACATTTAATTTTATACTTTTTTGTATAGTAATACACAGAGTCTAGTTCTCCAGGAACTCAGTTTGTACTTTCTGTTCATTTAATAAAATGCATTATATATTGGCCACTGATAATTTTATATCCTAAGTATTTCTGGAAGCAGTCCCTCAGTTCAGGTCTACATCATCTTTATTTTATATTGTTCCCTTCTGTTAACTAATCTCCCTCCATTCTTTCATATAGATATAGCCCTCACATTTACTCTCCCCACAGCATGTGGAGTGACTTCAGTGCAAATAGATCATGAACCACTCTTTAAAACATTAGTGTACAATCATCTTAAAGTTACCTATAAGACTTCTGCCTAACTCTCCATCTTCAGTCCTTTCCTCTTATCTGCCCTTACCTTTGGCATTAACTAAACCACTAGTGATACCCTCCTCAACAATCCCTCCCTGTATTTTTAGACATATATGCCTCATTTATTATTTCTCTTTTCTTCTTACTCCACTGCCTTTTGTGCTCTTGCCCTTTCCTGCCTTCTGTCTAGCTAATTTTACTCTTTACCTCCAGTTCAGTCATTACCTTTAGAAGGCTTTAGAAACGCCTTCCCTGACACCTATTATTTACACCTTTAAGCCCCAGAGCTTAGCACTTAGTAAGAACTCAATAAATAATTATTGAGCTAAATAAAGATTTTATATAAAGATGATCCAAAAAATTGTCTACCTCCAGTACAGAGACAAAGCAGGCATATTTAAAAAATAATGTACAGTTCAAGCGGTAAAGAGTAAAGCACTAAGATAGCCCCAAGGAGAGAACACATTTTTACCTAGGAAAAGAGAACCATTCTAATCAAGAAGACTTCACATAGCAGATTAAGTCTTAAATGGAGAAAAATTTTTCAGAATACTGAATGAAAACATTTCAGATATAATAAACAGTGTTCACTGATAAAGGTATAAAAAGTGATGAGCAGCATGCTAACAGGTTAAGTTTCTATGAGATAGAGAATATAGTGTCAATTTATATGTCTATGGTAGTTTTAAATTTTGTTTCTGAGGGCTCATTTATGTTGAGTGAATAGAATTTTTAAGATGGATATATGTCTTGATGTAGTAATAGTGTCTCTTCAAGTGACTTTTTAAAGTTTTGGAGAATTAGAAGTATTTCCTACAAAAATAAATATTCAGCTAAAGATTAAGTTTAAATTCTTAATAATGAAAATAAAAGTAAATTCTTATTATTTTCTGTCTACATTTATATAGACTATCACTTTTATCTAGCTGTCTAGGTTATTTTAACTAAGCATATACATTTGTTAGCAGAGCCAGACTTAGAAGTGACATCAGATGAAGAGCAAAAAAGTCTCAATTGCAGTACAAATAACCATCTACAGGTATGTAAAATTTTAATTTCTGGTTTAAAATTATGTTCTTTATTTTAATAATATAGCATAGGTCAAATGAAATTACCTTCAGATTATGCTTTTAGAATTAATAGATCATAATTTAATATTTAATTTTAAAACCATTTTGACTACTTACAAAATTTAAACTATTTTTAGAATGTATAGTAACTTATAACTAAACTTTATTCCTGGAATTGAAGCAAAAACTTTTTGAATATTGTTTGTACTTTGATTTTGTGTAACCTCCTTGCATGATAAAGAATATAAAATCAAATTTGAGTCATATGATAGCAGTGATAGCCACTGAGTTGGATTCATGTTCAAGCACGATCACTACCAGTGGATCAAAATTTTTAGTTTCATTCTACCTGTCACTGATGCCAAGGAAAGATTTTAGTTCTGCCTTGTTGTCTCTAATTAATTTCAGTTTCTAAGTAGAAGAAGAGAACAGGGTCATAAAATCAATCCAGCTAACAGAATGGGTCCTGTGGTGTTAAGAGTATAAACAGTAACTTTCTACCTTATTTCATTTCAATGTAGAAAATTGGTGAAAGTTAAAATTTTTTATCCCTGGGCATTAGAACTGAACTTAAAGCAAATAATACATAAAGGTGTATAACTCCATCCTAGTAAATAATTTGAATGAAAATATATAGGAATTATTTTTTCTGTTATTGGTGCTAATTGATTTTGAGTCTGGATAATTTAAACTTTGCCTACTCTCCACGTACTCCACGTACTCCACGTCTTTAGAAAAAAGATGTAAATGCTTTGCTAAGGGCAGGGTATTTGAAGCATAGTGAGGCAAAACCTTTTTATAGGGGCTGGAGGTATGGCTCAAGTGATACAGCACCTGCCCCATAAGCACAGTGCTCTTGAGTTCAGACCTCAAAAACAAGAAAAAAAGTCTATATGTGAAGAATCCTTTGTAATATTGAAAACCATCTAATTCATTTTTGGTAAATGTAGTACATAATTAAATGTAGATTAGATAAACAGTGGCAAAATTAAGTTTGCTGCATGTTTTTTTCCTAACTTGGGCTAACATAAATTATTTTTCACTTTTTGGTTCCAATCTAGTGATTTGGAAGTAGCTAAACATTTTGTTAAGAAGTTTAATAGATTGGCTGGTGGAGTGGCTCAAGTGGTAGAGCTCCTGCCTTGCAAACATGAGGCCCTGAGTTCAAACTCTGATACCACCAAACAATAAGATAAAATAAATAATAAGGAGCTTAATAGATTAAAATTTTAATTATTTTCTAACTTTTCTTTGTCTATACTCTGGTTACTGAAGGATACCTCAACAGTATATAAGGGTTCCTTTTCCCCCAGCATCCTCACCAGGATTTGTTGTTATTTGTGTTCTTGCTGATAATCATTCTGACTGGAGTGAGATGAAATCTCAATAGCATTTTAATTTGCATTTCCTTTATGGCTAAGGATTTTGAACATTTTTTCATGTATTTATTTGAAATTTGTACTTCTTTTGAGAACTGTCTGTTTAATTCATTTGCCCTTTATTAATTTGATTTTTTTGGTTTTTGTGTATCTAACTTTTGGAGTTCTTTATGTATTTGGATATTAATTTTTATATAATGAATAGCTAGCAAAAATTTTCTACCCTTTTGCAGGTTATTTCTTGATTCTGGAAATTGTTTCCATTACTTTTCAGAAGATTTTGAATTTGATGCAATCCCCTTTGTCAATTCTTTCTCTTCTTTCCTGAGCAGTTGAAGTCCTATTCAGAACAAAGAGCTGCTAGAGTCGCTCAAGTGGTAGAGCACTTGCCTAGCAAGTGCAAGGCCCTGAGTTCAAACCCTATTACCACCAAAAAAGGAAAGATAAAGAAAAAATGAAAAGAATAAAATCTACAATGGTGAAGTCCTATTCAGAAAGGTGTTACCAATGCCTATGTCTTCAAGTGTTTTCCATATGCTTTCCTCTAGCAATTTCAAAGTTTTAGATCTTACATTTAGGTCTTTGATCCATTTTAAATTAATTTTTGTACAGGATAAGAGAACAGGATCTAGCTTCAATCTTCTAGACGTGGATATCCAGTTTTCCCATCACCATTTGTTGAAAAGGCTGTCTGTTCTCCAGTGTATGTTTTTGGTGCCTTTGTCAAAAATCAGATGTCTAGCTATGTATTTCTTTTATTACTACTCTCAAATGCTTCTGTTGAATCAGCCTTTTACTTGATGTTCTTTTTAAAGTTTGATAACTTTTGGCATCTATGATTTTATCACATAAGTAACATACCCTCAGCCAAAAATTGGTATTTGAATCCAAAGTGAATGCTAAGTTCCAAGTTCTAAGGTAAATCGAGTTTTAAAGGTAGGCAAACATCTAAAGCTCTTCATTTTCTCTTTCTCTCTCTCTCTTTCTCTCTCTCTCTCTTTTTCCGGTAGCCCAGGGCCTCATGCATGCTAGGCAAGGGCTCTACCCCCTAAGCCTTAGAGTTCTTTCAAAGTAAGAGTAGATGAGGCTCAATGAGGCATTAAAATTATGTTGCCAAAGCCTTTTGTTTTGTTTTTATTTGATAGTACCGGAGTACCATCACTCAGGGCCTCACTCTTGCTAGACAGGTACCCTACCCCTTGAGCCGCTCCACTATCCCTTTTTTGTGTTGGGTATTTTTGAGATAGGGTCTTTCGAACTATTTTCCTGGGCTGGCTTTGAACTGGGATCCTCCTGATCTCTGCCTCCTGAGTACTAGGAATATAGGCATGAGCCACCAACACCCAGCTCAAAGTCATACTTAGAATTAATCTACTTAATTTGATGAATATATCTGGTAATTTATCTGGTACAACATTATGGAATTGTACTGTCTCTTTTGGTATCATAAAATGCCAGGTCATGCCTCAGGAGACTCGAATGAATCATTTAACCTTTCTTGGTTTTACTCCTATTTTAAGAAGATAATGGGGCTAAAGTAGGTAATTACTTATCTGTTCTCCAGCTGTAAAATTTTCTGCTTATTGGATGCAAAATTTAGGAAGCATCTCATCTTCCAGAATTCAGTACTAAGTCTATCATTTTTGCTGTGCTCAATTAAAAAGAGAGTTTTAAAGGGAATGGGGAAAAGAAAAGCTTAGTGGAGAAAGGGGAAAGCTTTCTTTTATTACTAAAGCCCCACAATGCCACATTCTCTGAATCTGGCTGTTTATTATAAAATCCAGATAGTAAAGCCAGAGAGGACACTTTTGTGATTTCTGCCAGTTGTACAAGAAGTGAAAATGTTAAGATAGCAAAGAGTAGATGAATTAAGAGCTTTTTATAGAGTGAAATCATAACTAAAATAAGTACTTTTTATTGAAAAGCAAATTATTCTTAGTATCAAACTTTCATTAAAGGTTGAAGGAAAAAGAAAGCACAGATATAATAAAATGCAAGTATCAGAAAACCTTTATGATGGTACTGCTGCTGCTTTCAACGATGATGATGAATTAAATAAACAAAGAATGATTGAAAAGACTAATAACCAGCAACTTCCTATTAAGGAGAATGAAAAACATGATGGGTAAGACTACAGCAATCTTTAACAGTAGGTAATTGTTATTGTCCTATAAAACCAATTCTAATTTTGGCTAATACTCATTATTAACAAATTTTTTGCTTTTATTGGTAATATTCAGCCTTGCATGGTAATTAGAAAAACAAACAATGAGATAATATTGTTCAAGTATATTGGTAAATATTTCATTAAAAATAATAACCAGTCAAAGCTGAGGAAAATGACATTCTTACTCAGTGTTGTTAAATGAAGTCGGTAAACACTTTTGGGAACAATATAGTAGCATGTATCAAAATTTCAGATATATATTATTCTTTTAACCTAACAGTGTCACTTCTGGAACAGGAAAACATGACTCATACACATATATATATACATATATGTTAAGGACATATCTTATATATTACAAATAACATACCATAGATGAATATATAACATGCACATTATGGATATATGTGTTAAGGCTTTTTATATAAATGTAAATGTGTAACATATATATATACATATATATGTGATAAACATTGTCAAAACAAAGAGTTGTAATATTTAGTGTAAATATTCATCAATAAGGAAATAGTTAAATTGTCATAGCCATAAAATAATGTAGTATGAAAGTTTTCACAATTATATTTAAAACATGTAATTCGATGACATATCTTAATCAAATTTTGTTATAATACTTGTAACCTGTGCTTAGTTACAAAATAATCTTTGTGCTACAATGGTATTGTACCTGTTACCAACAAAATAATTAGTTATTAGATTTTTGGTTTTTTTCACAATACATTAGTATTCAAATATTGGACCCTCTGATTAGTCTGTATATTGCTAATGGGTTGCACATATTGTAGTAGTTCAGTATATTGAGTATTAAAATTTCACCAAAGGATCTTTGATATATTAAACCAGGAATTGTCAGTTTTTCTTCAAAGAAAATGTTTAACACTTAGCAAACCATCAAGTCTCTGTTGTTATAGTCTGAAATCTGTTATCGACAAGAAGAGAATGGGTATGTCTTCATTCTAATGACATTTGTTTATAGGAACTGCAGATACAACTCAGTGGTAGAGTGCTTCCCTAAAATGCACAAGGCCCTGGGTTCCATCCCAACACATAAAAAATTTATTTCCAAAAAGCAACGGTCTGGATTTGGCTCATAGGCACTAATTTGCTGAACCTTCTGTGAAACTCAAGATGCTGCTACTTCCTTGAATCTTTTCTTTAAAGTTACTCTTCCTGCATGCAGGTTATCATCCTTTTTAAAGATAATATATTTCAGTATACATCACACCGTACTTTTCAGCAGTGTCTTCATATACAATATGCAAAAAAAAAACTCATTTTCTAAAATAACACTGAGTTTCTCGAAACCCTTTTATTTCTGTTACAGAATTCAGTTTTTATTTTTATGTATTTATTTATTTTTGTAGAACTGGGGTTTGACTTAGGGCTTCTTACTGGCTAGGCAATGCTTGAGCCATACTTTCAGCCCCAGAATTCAATACTTTTATGACTAATTACTTTGTGTATTTGACTAGTATAAAATATTCTAGAATTACTTGATTTTTATCAGGCAATGCTGCCTTTGAAATGTAGTCTTTCTGTAGGTTTTATAAGTATGAGCAAAATGATAATTAGCTTATGTAATGCATAACTAAGAAATTTCAAGAGGTACTTTATTTTACAATTTTATAAAGTTATTATTTAGTGCCTTGGTCCAGCATTTTTAGTGCCATATCCATGTAATTTAAGAAACTTTAAAGTATTACAAATATACTACATAATCATTATATATAAATTAAAAAATACAGACAAATAAGAAGAAAATTGTACCAGCCCCAGTCATGCCACTTAGCTCTGATGCCCTTGAAACAAGGATCAATACTCAGAATTAATTTGTGTGTGTGTGTGTGTGTGTGTGTGTGTGTGTGTGTGTGATGCTAGGGATCAAACCTAGGGCCTTATGTATGCTAGGAAAACATTCTCCCACTGAGCTTCACTCCAACCCTTCATTCTTTTTTCTTTGTTGGTTTTTGGGTTTAGGTTGGGGGTTTTTGGTTGCTTTATCAGACAGCGTCCTGCTGTGTAGCCCAGCTGGCCTTAAACTCATGATCCTCTGGCCTCTGCCTCTCAAGTGCAGGGATTACAGGGATTACAGGTATCTGTCACCATACCTTGTCCTCCATTCATTCTTGAATTACTCCAGTAATCTTCACTTCCACTCCTCCTACATAATTGTTTTTTCCCAAGGTTATCACTGATTTCACTTTAGTAAATCCAAACATAATTTTTTAGACTTCATCTTATTTAACCTATCAGCAGTATTTGACTCAATAACTGCTTCAAAACTCTTTTTTGCAAATGGCTTTCAAGACATAACTTACTCACCTAGTTTCTGTCCTGCCTTTTTAGTCCATCTACGTTAGTCTGTTTTGGTCTTTATCCCTCACCTTTTACATATTGAAGTGTCTTACGGCTCAGTTCTTGATTTTTTTTTTTTTAAGGACTTTTACTCCTTTTATAAAGTATTTCCAAATTTGTATCTCCATCCCAGATCTCTGCTTAATTCCAGATTATATATCCAACTAACTGCTTGACATCTCTCTTTAGTTAGCTGTTGGGTATCTCAAAACTGCCCCTCATTCCTACTTGAGCTAAGGTCATCTCTTCCAGTTGCTCTGCCAAAATCCCTTGGTGCTATTTTTGACTCATCTGTTTTTCTTTTACTCCTCACATCTAATCTGTCAGCAAATTTTATCAGTTCCACCTTCAAAATACGTGCAGAAACTAGTCACATCTTCCATTTGCAAGTTACCATCATGTGCTATCTTGAGTAGTATCATAGTCTCCTAATAGGTCTTTTTGTTTCTTTATCTTGAATCCACTTTCCACCAGTTCTTAACACAGTAGACCTGTCAGACTATGTCATTCCTCTTCTCGGAACCTTCACACATAGGAAGCCAAAGGGCCTCCTGATATCTGTAGGCAATACATGATCTGGCCTGTTTTATCTCTGATTCAAACTTATATTTTCTTCTCTTTTACTACACTCTAGTCACATTAAAAATTATTGGAAAACATTACATTAATTATCACTTAAAAAGTTTATGGATCTGTCCTGACAATTTTATAAATATATGCATTTTTATATCCTTTTGGCTGTTTGTAATAGCTATATTCTCTATATGAGTTTTTTGCATTTAGTGTAGATACTCATTGTTTTTCTGGTACTTGTGAAAGTTTTAATTATGGTAAAATGTAACAAAGGAATTGCAAATTTTATGTTTTATTAAGAAAAATGAAATATAAGGGTAATAGATTTAATAAACTTACAGAATTACTGCCAAAAGATTAAACACCTTCAATATCTGAAGTAAAAAGAATATCTGAATTTATTGCTTTCTATGATAAGGACTAGCTATTCTGGCCAAGCTCTTCTAAAAGCAGCCTGCTTATAGAAGGTTTTGGGAAGAGTGGAGTTTAAAAAGTCAGTCAACTTGCACAAGCTAAGTGGGTTGACATCTGTAACAGTTTGGTTATTTAAGCACTAGTGTTGATTGGTTGGCACTATGAAGAATATTTATTGGTGTGAATTTGTCTCAGATTGGCTGTCTTTCAAGAAGCAAGTGGTAACTGGGCATGATGGTGCACACCTATAAAAACTAGTTACTTTTTGAGGTGAAGGCAGAGGATCTTAAGTTTGAGGCCAGCCTGGGCAAAGTTAAGGAGACCCTATCTCAGAAGCAAGTACAAACAAAAGAATTAGGAGTGTGACTCAAGTGGTAGAGTGCTTGTCTAGCATGTGAGAGGCTCTGGTTTGAATCCTCAGCACAGTAAGAAACAAAAAAAGAAGCAGCAAATGGCTGAGATTGATTTGATGATTTGTTGGTGAGTGAGGCCAGTGATTGATTGATTGCATAGAGTATTTACTGCCATTGTTGCAAGTGAGCCATTTCCTAAGGTTGCTGCTACTTTGACCAGATGTTTTCTATTTAAAAGTTGCTTCCCATCAGCTGTTCAAAATGAAAACTGAATTCACACTCTGCAACTATAGACTTATTTTTTAAGTTGAGCCCAAGAGAAATTGCTATTGCTCGTAGAAATATTGTACCACCCTTTTTTCTTTTTAGATATTTAGTCTTAAGTAGAATAATTACCAGTATAACTTCCTTGTAAGTAATTGTTAGTTTTTGTTGTTTTTTGATACTTTTAGGGGCTCATGCTTAGCTCCTAACATAATCTCTGGAGGAAAATTTCAGTATCTTTGCAAATTTGTGTAGGTATATAATAGTGATAGTTAAGTTATTCATGTGTTTATTTCATAAAAAGTAATTATTATGGTCTGTAAATCCAGCTTTTTATGTTAGCATTAGATACTAAGCTAAGAGTATTTTAAAATGGTTACTAAATCATTTTATTTTCAAACAAAATACAATAATCAGAATATTGATACTTTTAAGTATATATAATGACATATAGGTATCTTTATGTTATAGTTTTGCCCCTCAAGATAGTTCTCTGATTTATTCTTTCATGTTATATGTCTCATGCAACTTTAAAAACTACATTAAAGTTAAACATTATGTTTAAAAACAAAATTAAAAATGTAGCCAAAATCTGATTATTTCTCCCAGGTCTAAGAATCATTGCCTGTAGGCAGTGAGCTCCAATCATTTACTGTAGCATTCATCTCATACTCTTTGCTTCTCTGTGTTTTACTCGCTTCCTTTCAAATTCTTAGGAAACACCTATGTCTTTGTGCTTACATTCTCTTCTCTAAGTAGATTCTCTAAGTAGAATGATTTCCTCCCACTTTTCTTACCTGATAAGCTTCACTTTTACATTTACCTCTCCTGCAAAGCTTTCCTTATGCTTAGATAACTTTTCACAGATCAACACGTATATATCACATTGTATCATAATTATATTTTGTGTTTTTTGAAACAGAGAATATACATTTCCTTATATTTAGCTAGTACTTTTCTTTTTTTTTTTTTTTCATTTTTCTTTTATTATTCATATGTGCATACAAGGCTTGGTTTATTTCTCCCCCCTGCCCCCACCCCCTCCCTTACCACCCACTCCACCCCCTCCCGCTCCCCCCCTCAATACCCAGCAGAAACTATTTTGCCCTTATCTCTAATTTTGTTGTAGAGAGAGTATAAGCAATAATAGGAAGGAACAAGGGGTTTTGCTGGTTGAGATAAAGATAGCTATACAGGGCATTGACTCACATTGATTTCCTGTGCGTGGGTGTTACCTTCTAGGTTAATTCTTTTTGATCTAACCTTTTCTCTAGTACCTGGTCCCCTTTTCCTATTGGCCTCAGTTGCTTTAAGGTATCTGCTTTAGTTTCTCTGTGTTAAGGGCAACAAATGCTAGCTAGTTTTTTAGGTGTCTTACCTATCCTCACCCCTCCCTTGTGTGCTCTCGCTTTTATCATGTGCTCATAGTCCAATCCCATTGTTGTGTTTGCCCTTGATCTAATGTCCACATATGAGGGAGAACATACGATTTTTGGTTTTTTGAGCCAGGCTAACCTCACTCAGAATGATGTTCTCCAATTCCATCCATTTACCAGCGAATGATAACATTTCGTTCTTCTTCATGGCTGCATAAAATTCCATTGTGTATAGATACCACATTTTCTTAATCCATTCGTCAGTGGTGGGGCATCTTGGCTGTTTCCATAACTTGGCTATTGTGAATAGTGCCGCAATAAACATGGATGTGCAGGTGCCTCTGGAGTAACAGTCTTTTGGGTATATCCCCAAGAGTGGTATTGCTGGATCAAATGGTAGATCGATGTCCAGCTTTTTAAGTAGCCTCCAAATTTTTTTCCAGAGTGGTTGTACTAGTTTACATTTCCACCAACAGAGTAAGAGGGTTCCTTTTTCCCCGCATCCTCGCCAACACCTGTTGTTGGTGGTGTTGCTGATGATGGCTGTTCTAACAGGGGTGAGGTGGAATCTTAGTGTGGTTTTAATTTGCATTTCCTTTATTGCTAGAGATGGTGAGCATTTTTTCATGTGTTTTCTGGCCATTTGAATTTCTTCTTTTGAGAAAGTTCTGTTTAGTTCACATGCCCATTTCTTTATTGGTTCATTAGTTTTGGGAGAATTTAGTTTTTTAAGTTCCCTGTATATTCTGGTTATCAGTCCTTTGTCTGATGTATAATTGGCAAATATTTTCTCCCACTCTGTGGTTGTTCTCTTCAGTTTAGAGACCATTACTTTTCTTAATAAATGAATTAAGGTGGGAAACAGTCAGAATTTTACCAAAGTTTTTTTTATTCTTTCCCAGTAGAATTATTGGAAAACATTGTTTTTAAAAAAAAAAAAATGTTTTGTTTTTAAGTAGTGATCCTGCCTTGTATATGAAAGAAGTAAAGAAAAATGAAAATGAAAAATGCACTTCCAGAGAATCTGTGATTATACCAGTGTTCAAGAAGGCTGATTCACTAACTGGCAGTCTACTGTGTGGAAAGAATGGTTGCAGTTTAAGTGAAATGCATCAGGATGAAGCAAGGTAAAAATCCATACATCCTTTTATTTCTCTTTGACAGAATGTTTGCACTGATTATTTTTTCTGAAAATAAAACAGAATAGTCTTCAGGCAAAACCAGAGAATACTTTCCTATATCACTGTTGTTGTTTGATTAAGATGTAGACAAGTGACTTTGCCAAGGAACAGAATCAATAAAGGGGTGTAATGAAGCCTGACTGTACTGGACAAGTGTAGACAACTCTCATAGAATATTTACTGGGATAGCCAATAGGGAAATGAGTAATAACTGAGGAAGAATGCAGGATTTAAGAGTCTTCTTTAAAAATAGAAGCTTTTAGAATATGTTTGCATGCTATTGGAAAGGATCCAGTAGAGATGGAAATGTTCCAGTAAAGAAGGATGTGTTTATTCAATTCACTTTTGTTTCTATGTATTGGATACATTAGAAAGCTTGATACATTACAGTAGTAAACTAACTGCCCTTAGAACGTCTATCCATATTTTTTATTGTAAGAAGTTATTGTTCATTCTGAATTGGTTCAGAAATGGGGTACCCTAATGCATATGGTGGTCTAAAAATTAACACAGATTTTCTTAAATTATGTAATTGAAAGCATACAAACATTTGTGCCATACTAAGTAGAATTTAATCATTCCTTGTGCCTGTGATGGTATCATGATAAGTAGCTATATGCCTTTCTAAGGTGGTATTAAATATCAAGTGTACCAATTTAATAGTTGTTTATATTCTGGGGTAAGGGGAATGACTTTCCTTACAACAGAAAAGTAAAGTATTGACAGTCTAGCACAGATTACTACTTTTGGATTATAAAGTTCTAAAATATAAAAGCCTTGTTTCCCCATACCAACAGTGTCATTGATACATATTATGTGCTCAATAAATATTTGTTGAATGCATGATTAAACAGTTCAGTAGATTAGGGCTGCCTAATCTACTAATTTCTTTAGGAAAAAATATATTCATTTTATTAATGTATGTTTACAAATTGCCTGGGTATAAAGTCTTCCTATTTTTAAAAAATTATTTGTAAGATTCAGAAGGTAATAATATCTAGAAATGGGATGATAGTATTGATTTATAATACCTAAAAACACTTGAAGTTAAATATTACTTTGACAGCATATTGTAGAACACATTTCTGAGTTTGAATCCTGGGTCTGCCACTGACAACCTGTATGGGCTTGGGAATTTACTTGGCCTTGCTTTCGTCTTTTATAAAATGTATAATATATGTTACTTACCTTACAGAATTGTTGCGAGTATTAAAATGAGTTTAACACATGTAAAGTGCTTAGAAAAATGCACAATAATTGCATACTAGGTCCCAAAAGCTAGCTCCTACCACCATTTAAAAAGGATTTCCTTTATATAAGGATTTAAGTAACATTTTCCAAATGGGTTTAGAAATTTTGTTCTTATTAATTGGTGGAGTGATTCAAGTGGGAGAGCACCTGCTAGCAAGTTTGAGGCCCTGAGTTCAAACCCCAGAACTGCCAAAGAATAAAGTTCTCATTGACAATAACAATAGCAACAACAAAAAAAAAGGTTTGTTTCTTTCTATCAAATAATGTAAGTAACATTATGTTTTTCCTTTTGATTTGACTGTTGGAAACTTTGATCTAAGTTTAATTATTTGTTATGATACTAATATTAGTATTATTATTTGTTCCTTATGGTTATTCTTTCTGTTTATAGTTGAATATTTTAAATAGAGTCTGTAAACTTTATGAATAGGAAAAATAAACTACAAATAGAGATTTTGTATAAAAAGATCACAATCTTAGGTATGTTTTGTATTTTCCATACATTTGCTTGAAAGGATTTTATGTTCTGTTCTGTTTTGTTTTGTTTTAGGCCCACAAAGAAAACATCTAATGAAAACAACAAGGTATTGTGTTAAACAATCAAAAATCTTAGTTCAATGAAAAAATAAACTATAAAAGCAAAGTGATACATTATAAAATATAAATTAAAAGATACATTTTAAAAGGTAAATTGAAATAATAGAGAACCTTGTGTAAAGACGTTTGCTTTAAATGTGACTAAATAACAGTAGTTTTCTTTTTCTTGGTGGTGATGGTACTGGGTTTGAACTCAGGGTCTCACACTTGCTAGGCAGGCACTCTACCACTTGAGCCAGTCCACCAACCCTTAAAGCCTGGTTAAATAACAGTAGTCATTGATAAAAATATCCTTTGACAAACATTTGTGAAGGACAGGTTCACACCTATAATACCAACTACTTGGGAGGCAGAGATCAGGAAGATTGTGGTTTGGACAAAAACCAGGCCAGTTAGGACAAAAATTAGACCTCCATCACAATCAATGAGCTGGGTGTGGTAGTGCACATCTATGACCTTAGCTCACCTGGAGGAGTAGGTAGAAGGATCGTAGCCCAAGGCAGGACCTGGGTTAAAAATGCCAAACCCTATCTGAAAAATAACTAAAGCAAAAAAGGGCTGGGGTGTATGTTGCTCAAGTAAAAGCCCTGAATTAAAACCTCTATACTGCCAAAAAAATTTTTTTTAAGTTCTTTTAAAAAATGCCAGTGTTTCTGCTTATATAAAAAATGACTAATTACCACTTTTATACAATTAACTTGTGGTATAAGTATTTTGGGGACATTTTGAAATAATAATATTTACTTTATAGGTCAGAAACCAAAGAAATGCTATGGATGATCTTGATGACTTTACTCAGTCATCTGAAACAGCCTCTGAAGACTGTGAGCTGCCTTACCCTAACTATGAGAATATTTTGCTTCTAATTGAGCAACTTAGAATGGAGTGTAAAGGTAAGACTTTTGCATATATATAAGGCTATTTTCTTTGGTGGTACTGGGGTTTCAACTCAGGGCCTCTTGGGAGGCAGGTTTTTGAGAGGAGTCACACCCCAGACTTTTATTGCTTTGTTTTTCAGGTAGGGTATCATGCTTTTAGCTTGGGACTGGCCTTAAATTGTGATCCTCCTGTCTTCACCTCCCATGTAGCTGGAGTAACACATGTATACCAACACACCTGGCTTGTTTGTGTATATGGGGTCTTGCTAACATTTTTCCCCAGGCTGGCCTCAAACTGAGGACCTCCCAATCTCTGCCTCCCAAATAGCTTGGATTACAGATTTCACTAGCAGGCCCAGCCAAATATCAGGCTTTTTTTTTTTTTTGCATATTTTAGTAATATATGCTCACATTGCTTAGAATTACACCATAGAACACTAATGTGTTATAGTGCTATTCATGTCAGAAACAAGCTTTATATTAAATAAAATGAGGACTATTGTTTACTATCAGCTAAAGAGTTAGGATCATTCCCACTGCACTTTTCTCAGTGTGAATGGCATGCCCCAACTTCTTATTGACTCTGCTTATCTCCTGTGCCTTTATCATTATCAGGTTAGGTTACATTGTCTCTACCTAGAATACTGCAATGACTTGAGCATTGTTTTCCCTGCTGTTCTCTCTCCTAAAACCATGAACTACTCTATAACCATAATTCTAAATTTTTTAAAATTCAGACTTAATCATGTTAACCCCTTGCTTAAAGCCCAGCTATCAATTCTGTAAGCTTTATCCTGCATCTGTCTGTGTACAGCCTCTGTCTTACATGTTGGTGTTTCCAAAGGAGCTTTTTATTTTGCATAGCTTCAGTGAGGGTCTTATTGATATAGAATAAATTGTACACATATAAAGTATACAATTTGATAAATTTATACATACGTATTTAATCACCATTATCAAGATAGTTAACAAATCCATTACCAACAAAAATCTCATCATGCCTCTTTATGCTACCTTATTAATAAACCAACAGAGTCACACATAGTGGTACATGCCTATAATCCTAGCACTCAGAAGGCTGAGGCATGAGGTTCCTGAATTCAAGGCCACCCTGGACTACATAGCAAGATTAAGACCAGCCTGAGCTACTTAGTGAGACCCTGCCTCAAAAAACCAAAAGTAAAAGAAAAAGAAACTGACAAATTGTTTTCCATAAGTATTTACCATTTTTCATTCCCATCAACAGTATATGAGCAGTCTAGTTCCTCCCATCTTCACAAATACATAATATTGTCACTTTTGTTTTGCTTAATTTTAGCCATTCTAATGGTGTGTCTTAGCACATCAGCATGGTTTTATTGTGCATTACATTAGTGACTAATAATGTTGAGCATTTTTCCATTTGTATTTGTTCTTTAATGAACTATATTTCTAAATTTTTGCCAGTTTAAAGTTAGCTTATTTGTTATTTATTGAGTTCAACAAATATCCTGTTAGTACAGGATAAAAAGAAGAGCAGAAGTTTTAAATTTTAATGGAGTCCATTTTATTTATTTGTTAAATTATGGATTTTTATTTTTGTCATATCTAAGATATCTTTATCTAGTACAAGGTTATAAAGAGTTTCTCCTATGTTTTCTTCTAGAAATTTTACATTTTTAGGTCTTATATTGCAACCTATGATCTATTTTCAGTTCATTTTTATATAGAGTGTAAGAATTTTGTGTATATAGATATCCAGTTATTCCAGCACCATATAGAGAAACCAACAGTTGAAAAAATTCTTCTTTCTCCACTGCACTGTCATTGTTTCTCTGTCAAAAATAAGTTGGCTGTTTATGTGGGCCTATTTCTGAACTTTCTATTACATTCTATTGATCTATTTAGCTTTCTTTATACCAATATCACACTTGTTACTTGTTTTGAGTATTCTGGTTTTATAATTCTTGACATCAACTCTCTTATTTCTTTCTTTTGTTCTTTATTCAGAGTTATTTTGGCTATTCTAGACTCTTTGCACTTCCATATGATTTTTTTTTTCAGTGCTGGTGATTAACCTCAGGGCCTTGTGCAAGCACTCTGCCACTGAGCTGCATTCCAAACCCTCCAGATGAATTTTAAAATCAGCTTTCATTAAAAAATAAGGAAGCCAGCGAGCCTAGTGGAAATGAGATTGAAGAGCATTAACATCTTAATAATGAATCTTTGACTCCCATTTAGTTTTATCAGTAATATTTTATAGTTTTATCATATAAATATTTTCATATTTTATCAAATGTATCTGTATTTCAGCTATTTTGACAAAGTTGTCATTTTTCCTTTTTTAATATATTTTTGTTAATTGTCATGTAGTAATTGCAGTTTATGGGTCTATAGTGTGAGATTTCAATACATATCTACAATGTGTAATGATCAGATAGATCAGCGTAAATAGCACATATTTATCATTTCTTTAGTGAACATTCAAAATACTTTATATTGGTTATTTTGAAATATTGAACTGATTATTATCAACCATAGTTATCCTACTAATACATTAGAAGTGATTCTTCCTATCTGCTTGCACCCCTGTACCTCTTAACCTTTCTCTCTTCTCTACTCTTCCACTATCTCCTAGGCTCTGGTAACCACTATTCTATTCTCTACTTTTATGAGATCAACTTTTACAATAGAGAGGAGAAGGCTTATCACTAAAAGTGACTTCATTTATTTTCTATACCTTTTTCTGTTTAATTGATTTTATTTTTTAATTGTTCAGTGTGTTTGGATTACTATAACAAAATACTATTGGAAAGGTAGATAATAAATAAACAGAAATTTATTTCTCAAAGCTCTAGACTCCAGGAAGTCCAAAATCAAGTCTCTAGTGAATTTGGTGTCTGGGGAGGACCTGCTTCCTTCTTCATATTATAGCCTCCTTTTCCTTGTGTCCTCACATGGCAGAATGAGTGAATAAGCTCTCTCAGGTCTCTGTTTTTTAAGAACCCTAATCTCATTTATGAGGGGTCTGTCCTCATTATCTAATTACCCCTTCAAAAGATCCACCTCCTAATACCATCACCTCGGAGGTTAGATTTTAGCATAGGAATTTTGAAAGGACACAGACATTTGGATTATAGCAAATGCTTTTTATTTTCTTTATTCTGTTTGCTTTGGGTTTCATTTTTCTTTTCTGGTGTTAAGTTAGAAGTTAAAGTCACTGATTTAAAATTCTTTTAATACTTCAGGACTAAAAAATTTTACTTAACTCTTGTAACATCATAAAGAACAAAATTATGTCATTTGCAGGAAATAGAAAATGGGAAATCATCACATTAAGTGAAATAAGCTAACTCAGAAGGACAAGTATTACATGCTTTCTCTTATATGCAGAATCTAGATTTGAAAAAAGAAATGGACATGAAAATAGAAGGGGCACTATTTGGGAAGAGGAAGAAGACCAGTGAGAGGATGGAGGGAAGATAAGAGAAGCTAATGAGGGGTGTGAATAGAATCAAAGCGTATTACATATGTGTATGATAATGTCATGATGAAACCCATTAACAATGTACAAAAATAACAAAAAAGAACTGCTACAGCTATGTTCCACAAGTTATGATATCTTGTTTTACTTTCATTCAGTTCAAAATTCATCGTAGCTTCTGTTTTCATACTCTTTGGCCCAGGGTTATTAGGACATGTATTAGTTTCAAATATTTGAGTATTTTCCAAAGATGTTTTTGTTAATTAATGTCTAATTTGATTGCTTTGTGATTAGGGAAAATACTTTACATGGCTGAAATTATTTTATTAAGTACTTAATCCTTTTATTAAGACTTACTGTATAACCTTAGAATATGTTCTGTTTGGGTAAGAAGAATGATACTGTTAAGGCATAGTGTATTATTGCTGATTTTCTGCTTACTTATTCTGTCATCTATCTCAACATTGTACTTGTGAACTTGTCTATTTTTTTGTGCAGATCAATTAATTTTTGCCTTGTACATTTTGAAGCTGTTACTGGGTACATAAACTTCCAGGATATGTATCTTCTTGATTAATTGAATGTTTTACCATTATGAAAAAACCTTGTTTATTGCTAGAAGTAGTTTTTGCTATGATAACTACTTTTGTATTAATATAGCCATTTCTACTCAAACATCTTTTGTCAGGTGTTAGTGCAGTATATCTTTTTTCATCTTTTTAATCAATTTTTGTCTTTGAACTTAAATTGTATTTCTTATAGGCAGCATATGGTTGGATTTTACTTTTCTATTCAGTCTGACAATCCACCTTTCAGTGCAACTTTTAGACCACTTTTACTTAGCTTGATATTTAACCTTAAAAATGTAGAGGTTAGGACAGTTAACCTGTGTGCAGTTGAAAATCTACATATACATTTTCATTCTCCAAAAATGTAGCTACTGGGCTGAAGGTGTGGTTCAATTTTGCTCTGGTAATTTTGAAGATGGGATCTCCTGAACTATTTGCCCAGGCTGGTCTTGATCCAAGGTCTTTCTGATCTCAGCCTCCCAAGTAGCTAGGATTTACAGGTATAAGCCACCTGCACCTGGCTGGCTGTTCCTTCTTGTTCTTGTTCTTATGAGCTTTTTAGGTGTATCAGAACAGTGCTCGGGCTAGGGTTAATTTCCTTTTGCTGAGGCAAGACCTTTCTGATGGCTCTGCCCATTGTCCTGTGAATTTTTAAGTCTGTCCAACCTGTCTGGTAAGAATGAACATTCTTCCTGATGCTAAGTGAGCACCAGGCACAGTGAAAAGAAAGTGAGGAAAAGCTGAGGCACCTTCAGAAAAGAAAAGGAGAGACTCACTAAGAAAGAATTTGCAACATTTATAAGTAGCAGTCCTTTATTAGGGAGAACAGACCAGAGAGGGGCCCTCAGCCATCAGTAACACTCTGAGAGGGACAAGAACATGGCTTTCTTATGGCTGGGGTCTTAAGCATGCTCTGGCAAGAAAGTGGGAGGTTGGAGGGAGATGAACGATAGGTAAGGTGACTGGGAAGGAAGATGGGGGAG